AGAAGGAAAAAACAAGAATTATGCTTATATATTTATAACAACATATGCATTTACCTAGAACAAGAGCACTGAGAATAATTGCAAGATATGTAAAAATCGATGACATATTCAACTCGTACAATTGAGAAAAAAACGAAATGAAGACAAAAACTAATTCCGAATTTTACTAATAAAACAATATACTAATCCATAAATAATGAGAATAACAACATGTGTGATATTAAAATTTAATAGTTCGATTATGGTTCGATACTTGTCAAATTACAAATGATATTCAGTGCATTTTTCTGTAAATATTTTAATTTAAAAAAAGAAAAGAAAAGAAAGCAGATCAACACACATAAAATTTATATATAACAAATAATAATATAACAATATATAAAGCATGAAAAAGTAAGATAGTTTGTTTTTGTTTTACTATGTCTAGGACAAAACAACAAATAAGCTAAGAAAGAAATGAATGATAGAAAACAAGGCATTGTAGAAAGTTTACTTTTTGTGTTTTATTTTTGTAACAATAAAAGAAAATATAAATTACAAAAAAGGAAATAGAAAGATTATTATTATTATTTTGAATTAACATCGACACCAGCCTTGATTATCAGTATTGGGTTTATCAGTTGAACTGGATGATGGAAGTTTGACTTCGATTCCTATTATGAAAAATATTTAATAGAAAATTTGAATTATGATATTTACCAGGACTATCTGTAACTTCAGGTTGTTCCATACCAGGTAAGGCAGAGGCTACTCGTCGAAATAACTATAATAAAATAAATAGATTATTATATGAATAATTAATCTAAATCGATAGTACTTGTTTAACATTATAACCAGCTTTAGCACTTGTTTCGATAAACATAACATTTAAATCTTTTGCTCGTTGTTCACCTTCTTCTGTTGATACTTGTCGTCTATCGACTAGATCAGTTTTATTGCCAGCTATAATATAAATATATAAAACGTTTTTTTTTTTGTTTCGAAAATATCTACCAAGCATTATGATAACATCAGTACCACGTTCAGACCGAACTTCTTCTATCCATCTCGTTGTTTGTTGAAACGATGTTGAATCTAATGAATTTTTCAGAAAAATCGGTTTTTGTGTATATGATATTCTTACTTGTGACGTCGTAAACAACAACAGCAACTGTAGAATCACGTATATAACTAGGAATAAGACTTCTATAAAAAAAACAAGATTATTAAAAATCATAGCGAAATATTTTATCTATTACCTAAATCTTTCTTGTCCTGCTGTATCCCTAAATTTAAAAAAAATATTTTCATATATTTTTTCATAAATTCATTCTTACCATAATTGCAAGCGAACAGTACGATCTTCTAAATACATAGTTTTGGAAAGAAAATCTATACCAATTGTAGCCTAAACTTAAAATAAAATTTATATTTCCCGTAAAAAAATATATTCTTACTTGATATGTATTATCGAAACTATCATACATAAAACGAGTAATTAATGAAGTTTTTCCAACTAAAAATTAGGAAATAATATTTATGTTTTGTATTTTCTTTTTACGATCTTACCACTTTGTTCACCTAGAAAAACCAACTTAAATTTACGAAGAGGATTTCCACTTTGTTCTAATGACATTCTGTGAATGAGATAAAAATAAACAGATCTACAAAAGAGAAAGTTTTTGAATCATAACTAAGAAATTTTCTTTCTATGTAAAAGTGAACTTGAGACCGGAAGATATTTAATGAAATAATAATTAAAAAAAAGAAGAAGAGAGGGATAGAAAGTTTATTTTAAATAAGTCCTTTTTCTTTAAGTTTACTAATAAGTTCATCGACACTTGCTACTCGACCACCACCTTGTCGTTTAGGTGGTTCTTCATATGAAAGATATTCTTGATGTGGTTTTATATCAACACCTAAATCTTTTGGTGACATTTTTGCCATTGGTTTTTTCTTTGCTTTCTATAGAAATAATATTATTAATTAGAAAACAAAACAAAACAATAAAATATTACTTGTATTGATGGAAGATTAGCGAAACGAGGTTGATTAAGACGAAGATCAGAAGTAATCACAGCAGGTAATTTTACACGAAGTGTTTCCGAACCACCATCAATTTCACGCATTACTTCAGCTGTTTTATCCTTAATATCAACTTTGGAAGCAAATACAGCCTAGAAACAAAGAAATCTATATTTTCATTTTTTATTATTATTCTAATTTACTTGTGGCCAAGAAAGAAGACCAGCAACCATTTGACCTGTTTGATTGGAATCATCATCGATTGCCTGAATAATTTAAAAAAGAAAATATTGATATAAAAGTTAACTGCTCTGTACAAGTATAATCGTTAAAGAAATTTATTCGAAAATAATGGTAAATATTGATATAGAAATGATTTATTAAGTAACACTGTAATCCGTGGAATTATTCCAAGTATTTTGTTACATTGCAAAAAATAAATATGTCTTCCTTTATCTTAATATTGATTATCTACATCGAAAAAAGAAATTGTCAAAGTGAATAGATCGGATCAACGAACACAACTTATCATAGTTATAATTACTGAATTCAATGACCATTCAAAATGAATTAACGTTATTTTAGTTGAGCAAAAGCATATATATATAGGATCTATATTATCAATTAATATGTCATGAAATATTTACTTTTCTTTTAGATAATTTTTATCTCATCTAATAAATTATATAGTTTATCATTGTTTTCGTTCGATTCTGTCTCACATAAAGAATTATACAACTAACCAATTTTCCTAGAAGAACTAGATCAACATTTTCCTTCTTGGCAACAGCTGCAATTAATTTTGAAATAGCTAATGGTTGTAACATTTCATAATCTTTGCCAGTTACTTCAACATGTATAGCTCGATCAGCACCTAATGCTAATGCTGTTCGAAGTGTTTCCTTTGAAAACAAGAACAAATTTTATATATATATGAAAATTATTTCATAGATTTTATACTTGACATTGAGCAGGTCCACATGATAATGCAATAACTTCTTGTGCAACTTTTTTTTCTTTCAAACGAATTGCTTCTTCAACTGCAATTTCATCAAATGGATTCATTGAATGTTTAACACCTTCAGTAACAACTCCACTTTTATCGGTTTTAACTTGTACTTTAACAGCATAATCAATAGCTCGTTTAACACCGACTAAAATACGTATTGCCATCTGAAAAACAAAGAGAAAAACACACTTAACAATTGTTTTTTTTTCAAATTCTTCTAATAGGAATTAATATGTTTTAACAACAAAACAAAAAACTTTATTCTGAATCCGAATCCGAATCATCATCATCATCATCATCATCCTCATTATCGGCTGGTGGTGCTGGTGTTTGAAATATTTCATCTGTTTTATCATATGGAAAACTTTCTTTTGGTTTCTTTTGTTCGTATGATAATTTTTGATAAACACGTTGTTGATATTTTTGTGAAGCTTCTGCTTTAGCCATATGACGTTTTAAATTCGGTGCAACATATAATGGATTTTCATAAATCAACATACCAGAGAAACTTTTTTCAAAAATACAATGTAAATTGAGAACAAATCTAAAAAAAGAAAAAATTTAAAAATGAAACAAAAGAAAAGTATTTCGAATTACCTTGGACCAATTTCAGCTAATGAACCATTTTCTTCAACAATTTGATAATTTCTTAACCAAACTTTATTATCAATGATTGTAAATGTTAAAACATGATCAATAAATGGTTGAGATTTTGGATGTGATTTCGGTGTACCAAATATTTGTGTAAATAATTCTTTAATTAATTTCCAATGTGGTTCATCATCAAATTTTTTATCAAATGATAATAATGGACGTGAACCACGTAAACAATTACCAGTTAATTTTAATGCTTCCATTGTATGTAAATTTTCAACAAGAAATTTAACTGTTGGTCCATCAGGTACCGATGCCATCCATAAATAAAGATCACGTTTTTTTTTCATATCAAAAAATAAGATTTTATTACAATTACGTAATTCAGCTATTTCATTTAACATCGAAAAATTTTTACGTATTTCTGCTTTAGGTTCACTTTTTGAATGTGCCATTAATGAACGTAAATTTTTCATAACATGACGTGCTAAATATGATATACCACGAGATGAAAATATCAGAACACGTTGTTTATTAATCCATGTTGATTTCATGGGTGTAATTGTATCGGATTGACGTGTTGATGGTAAACGTTGAACTAAAGATGATGACGATTGAGGTGATGGACCTAATCGATGAACATGCATAGATTCATCCTTATTATCTTCCTCGAGTTGTGCTTGTCGAGTTGATTTTTTTATTTTTTTTTGTCGTGGTTGAGGACCTGATTTTTCCGATTTACGTTTGTTTGCTTTAGGCATAATGATATAGATGATAAATATCTAGAAAAAATTAGTTTTTAAAAATAATTCAAATTTTCGTGGTTAATAAATAAAGAAATATAAATATATCGTACTCGTACATATCGATAGTAGTAGTACTATCAGTAGACCTTTACATGTTCCAATCAAATCTTTTTGATTGAACTTCATTTATCTAGCATTTCTAGTGAGGTTGAATAGATGTCAGTGATAGACAACTATTATATCATTTTTCGGTATTCGATTTTTTTATTACTACCAGATGTCAGCATTAGACAATTGCTAAATAATCCATTCTATAATTCAATTAGCGTTAATAATCATTCCAAATAAATAAATAATTATTATCGAAATAAATTTAAATCAAAAGAATAAAAAAAAACGTACAATATCATTCTACCAATCGCATACTGTCAGTTCAAAGAATGAGTACATATTGTACTGTTGTGATTGAATACCTGCCCCTCTCTCTCTTTCTCATCACATCACGAGATATATAATGATTAATTATTTGTTTTTTGTCGTATTTGAATTTTACTGGTTTAGTATTAGTTACGTAAAAGAAAAAGTACAGTATATATGTAAAATCTAAATATATTATTTATTGTTTATTTTTGTTTTTAATGATAAGTTTATTTTATTTTGCGTCGATCTGTAGCACTAAAACTTCGGCGATTCGTTATATTTCTAACAACATCTGGAAATTGAAATCTAACACCGTTTGTTTTTTTATTTTCTTTCGAATCGATGCTGTTTATACTAGTTGAATTTCGTTCAGGTATAGGTGATAAAGCTTTAGTTAAATCAGTACTACTTCGATGTAATCGAGATCTAAGATTAATAAATGTAGCACTTTTTGGTGAAGTTTGTAGATGATTAGGTGTTGTAGATCCTGATTCCGTACGATTATTTGGAAAAGGTGAAAAGGCAGGCGAAAAATGTAATGATGGCGATGGTGATGGTTCATTTTTTATTGTTAATGGTTGACGTGGAAATTTAGTGAACTTAATTGGATTTGAGAAATTTGTTTTAATAGTCATCATAGGATGAGAAAGTGAACTGATTTTGATATAATCTTCTTTTGCTTTCTAGAAAAAAAAAGACAAAAAATAAGTTAATTAATTAAGATTTAGTTAACCTCTATAGTAGTAGTAGTTGTAGGTTGTTGAGAAAGAAATTGTCGTTCTAATTGACGTAATGTCCATGAGGGATTTCTTAAAAAATCACGTCGAACTGGTGGTTGAGGATTAGGCGTTGGTGATGGTTGATCAGGATGTCGTTCATTATAAACATAAGTTGCTCGTTCACTTGCTGCACGTTGAAATTCTATACTATTACAATCGCCTCGTTGTTTTTTTCGATAACAATCTAGTTTAGATAAATAAAAGAAATATTATTTTCAATAGATATTCTTCTCTTTTTGAACGAACTTGTACAATAAATATCATCTCCTTCTTCATTGAGAGTCGCTGCAGTTAAATTTCGTTTACATATTCGACAACAAAAACATCGATTATGATAAATCTAAATAAAATCTTAAACATTTTTTTTAATTTTATTGTAAATTAAATTACATGATTCGCTGTTTTTTTCTTTTCAACATCATAAACAAGTGCTCCACAAGCAAAACATCTTGTATTTGCCCAAACTGTATTTTCGATTAATATTTCCATACTTGTTTCTAAAATATTCGATTTAAAAAAAAACTTGTGTTCAAATATGAAAGAATAAAATAGGACATAAGGTCAACTGTACTTTAATAAGTATATTCGGAACTGATTATATATTACGTATAAGAGAAGGAACTAAAATTTATGTAGTTATATAGAAGAAAGAAGGTCGAGAAGAATATTTTACATCTTCATTTAATATGTAAAAAAAAAGGAGAGCAAACATAGAACAGTGTATATTGACCGTTCGTGATTAATAGATTCTTTCTTTCTGAATTATATTATACTCAACTTTTTGGCCATGGATTGTTCATTGACTTGACAGTTCCATTCATTATTTTTGGATTAGCCATAAGTTGATGCTTTGTACAAGGTGGGAAGGAAAACGTAATTTATTTATAAGAGAATCTACGTTATTTTTTTATATTTGTCCCATCCGCCCACATCACCTTTTTTTGTAATGATAATCATTATCAAGGAAAGAAAAATATTCATATTTGTTTTTTTTTATTGTATTAAAAAAAAGTCGACCGAAGAATGATATAGGAATATGCATAACACCTTTCGTTTTTTGCTTCATATTTTAATATAAATATATGTATATTTGTTTTTTGATTGCTTCTTATCACTCACGTTGATCAAATTGGAATAAATGACAAAATATTTTCTATCGATATATCGTTTGATATAGGCAAAAACAATCATTGTCATACGCAATAAAACCACGTCATTCATATTAGTGAATATTTTATCGAAAAAAATAAACAAAGTTTGACTAATTCATTATTAAATGATTATTGTTATGAAAATAAAAATGACCTTCAAATTATAATAAATAAAAATAGATATTCGTTAAATTTAGTAAAAAAAAAATTTCTGTATACACGCTGTGATATTATAAAAGATAAGACACACCTTGATAATATTGATTTTATTTTAGATTTATATATTTATAAAATAAAACGCAATGTTAGTTCGTCTATGTTTTTTTATTTCTTTGGCTTTGGTTGCCATTAATGGTCGTATGCTTAAATCACATCGACCATTACTTTCATTAAATCTTGTAAATGAAATTAATTCAGCACAAACAACATGGAAAGCATCAGCATCATCAAAATTTATGTCATGGTCAAAAGAATCAATCGAACGTTTAATGGGTGTTCATCCAGATTATTATAATCAACATAAACAACTTGAAGTACTTGAACATGATGTACCAAATGATTTACCAGAAACTTTTGATGCACGTGAACAATGGCCTAATTGTCCAACACTCAAAGAAGTTCGCGATCAAGGAAGTTGTGGTAGTTGTTGGGCTTTTGGTGCTGTTGAAGCGATGTCGGATCGTATTTGTATTGCTTCAAACGGTGCTGTAAATGCTCATATCTCAGCTGAAGATCTTGTTTGTATGTAATCTTTAGGAAATTTAGCATATGAAAAATATTGCTTTTATTTTATATAGCATGCTGTAAATTATGTGGTTTTGGCTGTAATGGTGGTTTTCCACAAGCTGCTTGGTCATATTTTAAAAAAACAGGTTTAGTTACTGGTGGTAATTTCGAAACAAGTGAAGGTTGTCGACCATATACTATTGCATCATGTGATCATCAGTAAGTTTGATTGTTATATACTACTCTTAATTCTGTTTTTCTCTTTAGTGTTAATAAAACTTTACCACCTGTAAGTTATAAACAATCTTTTTTTGTTTTGTTATATTGTTTTTCATTTGAATAAAATAGTGTCAAGGTGAAGGTAAAACACCAAGTTGTACAAAAGATTGTATTACTGGTTATACAATTGCATATCCAGAAGATAAACATTTTGGTGATAGTGTTTATTCAATTAAATCAAATGAACAACAAATTCAAACAGAAATCTTTAAAAATGGACCAGTTGAAGGCGCTTTTACTGTATATGCTGATTTTCCTTTATACAGTTCAGGTGTTTATAAACATACATCAGGATCCAGTCTTGGTGGTCATGGTTTGTATTGATTTTTAAGTAAATCTTTTTTTATGTATTTCTCTTTAATAGCTATTAAAATTCTTGGTTGGGGTGTCGAAAATTCAACACCATATTGGCTTGTTGCTAATTGTAAGTCAATTTGCTTATTTTTCTGAATTATAATTTTGGTTTTTTTAGCATGGAATCAAGATTGGGGTGATAATGGTTTCTTTAAAATTCTTCGTGGTAAAAATGAATGTGGTATTGAAAGTGGTATTGTTGCTGGTGCACCAAAGCTCAATTAAATATATAAAAGATCTGAACTTTTCTCTTTTTGCATTCGTTCTTCTTCTTCTTCTTCTTCTTCTTCTTCTTATTGATAAACTCGCGAGACGATCTGATCCACTAGAAAACTATAAATATGTTTTGGAAATCATAAGACATTGTTATTATTACATAATCTATTTTATCTTTTAAAGATGTCCTATATTACTTTTTCATTCTCTTTTTCTATATTTATCATCATTATTAAAGTTCTGCTTGTATAAAATTCTATTAAAACAAAAAAAATATTATAATTTGTATTAGTATTCTTCGTGAATTACATATAAATATGGTTGATAGTAATAGCTAGAGTAGAATAACTTGCTACAAGTGTTTTGTAGATGATCTAAGGAGTTCTAGACAAAAATATATCTTTTTTTTCGTTTGTTTGTAAATTAATTATTTGAAAAAAGGATCTACGATTTCAAATCCTTATATTTACTCGTACTAGCATTTAGAATGATTATTAATTTTTGAAAGACAAAATTTTGAAATAGACTGCTGAGGACGGTGGCAGCTAGCATTTAGTATTTTCTCCAAGAAATGTACGTGCAAATAATAGACAAAACTGACCATCGAAAAATCGTATTTGGTATTTTCATACTTTTATCATATTAAAATAAAAGATTAATTTATAAGTTCTATATTTTTTCACTCTAATAATAATGCTTATTCGTTGGTTATTGTTGATCTTGACGGTTCATTTATGTCTGATCTTTTTGAGAAGTTAATGAATGTAGTTGAGTATGATATAATTAGTTACATTTTCATTCACTTATAGTTAGCGGTGAATGCTGGTTGATTCACTGAAATAGATCATGTGTTGACTACACATTCATATACTACACATTTCAGTTTTTTCTTCCCCGTACAAGGTCTCATTCGATATCAGCGGAGCTCATATTTCGTTTTTTCTGTTTTTCTCAGATTGGTTTATTCTACAACTATTATAATATTTAATATTTTTCTTAATGAGAAAAATACTCTCTTAGAGAATAAAAACATAAACATCTCGTAAAATTTATTCATATCGATATGCATTACCTTATGAAATGGTTTAGTTAATTGTTATACTTTGATTATAAATAGAGTCATTCTTTCTATGCACACCTGGCAACAGAAGAAAAAATTAAATGAAATAAATGAACGAAGCATTCTTTTATTTACGAAATACGTTTTATAATTCTTTGTCTTACAAGTTCAAACGTCTCTTTCAGATTTTTAATATAAGGATGAGTTGGAGATAATACAACTCGCCATATTTTCAGAGCACGTTCATAATATGAAAGTGCTTTTGAATATTCTCCCATGTTGTGATACACTCCACCAACATAGTTGCAGAAATTCCCGAAGTCAATGTTATTTGAAGGATGGCATTTTTCCCAAACTGTGAATGCTTTTTCAAAAAACAAAAGCCCTTTCGAGCACTCTTCGATGCTGTAGAACATTACACCGATATTGTTATAGAAAGTAGCCAAATCGGGATGATCTGATGGAAGCGTTTTTTCTTGAATTTCGAGTGCTTTTTCATAAAACAAAAGTGCTTTTGAGTACTCTCCCATGTTGCTGTACACCGCACCAGTATTGTTGTAGGAAGTAGCTACATCAGGATGACTTGAAGGAAGAGTTCTATGTTGCATTTGCAGTGCTTTCTCATAGAATGAAAGTGCTTTTGGGTACTCTCCCATGTTGTGATACCCTCCACCGATGTTGTTGTAGGAAGTAGCTAAATCGGGATGATTTGCAGGAAGAATTTTTTGTTGAATTTCAAGTGCTTTTTCATAGAATGAGAGTGCTTTTGAGTACTCTCCCATGTTGTGATATACTCCACCGATGTTGTTGTAAGAAGCAGCTAAATCGGAATGATTTGCTGGAAGAGTCTTTTGTTGCATTTCGAGTGCCTTTTCATAAAATGAAAGCGCCTTCGGGTACTCTCCCATGGTATGATACACTCCACCGATGTTGTTGTAGGAAGCAGCTACGTCTGGGTGATTTGAAGAAAGAGTTTCTTGTCGAATTACGAGTGCTTTTTTATGAGATGAAAGTGCTTTTGGGTACACTCCCATCTTGTGGTACACTCCGCCGATGTTGTTGTACGAAATAGCTAAATCAGGATGATTGGCAGGGAGAATTAGTTGTCGATTTTCGAGTGCTTTTTCATGAAACAAAAGTGCTTTTGAGTACTCTCCCATGTTGGTGTACACTGCACCAATATTGTGGTGGGAGGTAGCCATCTCAGGATGAGTTGAAAGAAGACTCTTTTGCCGAATTTTGAGTGCTTTTTCATAGAATGAAAGTGCTTTTGAGTACTCTCCAATCTTGTGATACACTCCACCGATGTTGTTATAGGAAATAGCTACATGAGGATGATTTGCAGGGAGAACTTTTTGTCGGATTTCAAGTGCTTTTTCGTGAAACGAAAGTGCTTTTGAGTACTCTCCCATGTTGCTGTACACTGCACCGATGTTGTTATATGAAGTAGCTAAATCAGGATGATTTGTAGCAAGAGTTCTTTGTTGAATTTCCAGTGCTTTTTCATAATACAAAAGTGTATTCGAATACTCTCCCATGTTATTGTACACCGCACCGATGTTGTTGTAGGAAATAGCTATATCAGCATGATGTGAAGGAAGAGTTTTTTGTTGAATTTCGAGCGCTTTTTCAAAGAATGAAAGTGTTTTTGCGTACTGTCCCATTTTGTGATACACTCCACCGATGTTGTTATAAGATGCAGCCAAATCAGGATGATTTGAAGAAAGAGTTTCTTGTCGAATTGTGAGTGCTTCTCCATAAAACGAAAGTGCTCTTGGATATTCTCCCATTTTGTGATACACTGCACCGATATTGTTGTAAGAAGTAGCTAAATCAGGATGATTGACAGGGAGAATTAGTTGTCGATTTTCGAGTGCCTTTTCATGAAACAAAAGTGCTTTTGAGTACTCTCCAATATTATGATACACTCCACCGATATTGTTGTACGAAGCAGCTAAATCCGGATGATTAGCAGGGAAAATATTTTGTTGAATTTCGAGTGCTTTTTTATAGAATAAGAGTGCTTTTGAGTACTCTCCCATCTTGTGATACACTCCGCCGATATTGTTGTACGTAGCAGCCATGTCAGGATGAATTGAAGAAAGAGTTTTTTGTTGTATTTCGAGTGCTTTTTCATAGAATGAAAGTGCTTTTGGGTACTGAGTCAGATTGTTGTAGGCCGCGCTGATGTTGTTGTAAGAAGCAGCTAAATCAGTATGATTGGAAGCAGGCGTTCTTTGCCAAATTTCAAGTCCTTGTTCGTAATACCAAATAGCCTTTTCATAATTACCTTGATTCCAACTGATAAGACCAAGTTGGTTGTAGTAAATCGTTTTTCCACTTGAGCTAGATGTCTGCTCTAATAATACTTTGCAAAGTTGTTCAGCTTTATTAAATTGACCCATTTTACTCAGTAAGCTACTCAACTGTTGCCATCCAGTATAGCCACTAGTTTCTTCTCTTATTCGAGTCGTAAGTATTCGGAGTTGCTCGTCATCATCCGATATTAATTCAAGTTCAACTTCATAAAGTTGATTATTATTGTCCATTTGTTGAATCTCACCCACTCGAAAAACCGTATGCATTGAAAAAAGAATGTCATCGTGTTCCGAAAAATAGGCGGACTCTTTAGTCGAGACGAATGGTACTAATTTAAGACGTGGATCAATAGACATCTTCAAAAGAATACCCACCATATCTGCATTTTCTAGTGTACTAGTGGCATCTCTGAGGGATATGTCTCTTTCTTTGCTAGTGGATAAAAAGTTATTGAAAGACATTAGTCCACCTTTTGTTTTTTGTAGTTCTTCAAAATTTGTTTTGGATAGACCTTGCCCTCGATAAACTGTGAATGGTTTACCATGATAACCATTAATCTGTTGTTGGTGGAGTTCTTGAATTTGTTGATGAAGGTCACGAATAAAAAAGCCCATGTTAATAATCATATTGGGTTCCATTGAGCGAAGAGCGTAATTGACCATAGCATAGATATTGGATGAGTAAGTATACCACCAAATGGCTGATTCAGGATGATATTCTTTCTCAAATCGATCGATAATTTGTGAGTCCATACAGTTTTGTTCTCGACAATAATCAACAAACTCTTTGATTGCTTGTTTATCATATTCCATATCAAGGAGAATATCCTTGAATATCTTAGTGTACATAAATGTTGGTTCCAACTGATTTAAATTATTAGTTAATATCTTGTTATTCATTGTGAAGTTTGCTGTATTTTTGTTAATATTCTAGAATAAACTTCAACTAGTTAGTTTAGGAAATATTATTGTGGAGAGTAGTAGACAGAGCAATACAACCAAGTTTATCAACAACGTTGACGACAGAACGAGCAAAACAACAGCCAACGAACTGTTTCTTTGTGTAGTTATTCTTTTCAACTTTCTCTTGCTTTTACCTGCGTAATTACTGCAGTATGTCAATATGCGGGCGACACTGTATGAGTGAGGTACTATAGGTAAAGAAATATGATTCATTCAGCAAATGTTTTTTTTCCTTCGCCATACATTGTCTTATCGTTTTATGATGACGAGGAATTTATTTTGACAAAAGAAATGAAGAGGAAACTTTTCTAAATTTAATATATTATAAACTTCGTATCAATAAACGTGAAATAGTTGTTGGCTTAAGAACATCGCAAAAGACTTTGATGTTTTCTATTGAACAAAGGAAAGCATTTTGTACAAAATATTCAAAAGAATTATATTGCTGATAATTTTAAAAATTGTTAAAGTCTAAGCTAGAAAATCTTTTCATAATTGATAATATGGTACATTATCTTTGTAATTTATGCATATAATACTATTTTTGTACCGACAAGAAACGATTGTACACTCAGAATAGTGAAAATAACCATTTATAAATATATTATCATGCATCACTAACTTCACTGTATTCATGATAGCAGTTAAAAAATGAATTTTGTGATAAGAGAGAAGTGTTTGGAAGCTTATTAAATAATCTATCAAACGATATTATGTGAAGTAGAACTAGACTTGTGAAAGTTTAAGTTCAAAAGGTGTGGGTTTGAATATGTTGCTCTTTCACACCTACACCAACCCCGACAACCACACTCTCAACTAATAAAAAATAATTTTTTTATATAATCAATCAGATCGAAATATATTTCTTAATCTGTTGATAATTCTTGTTTTTCTTATCCAGAAGAGTTTTATAATTTTAATTTCATTTATAAACATTTTTTGAGAGAAAAACAAAGAAAGAAATTTTTTTTTTGATTGAATATTCATTAAGAAATAAAATCAAATTTTTGGATTCGACTATTTATTCAATCACTCACACAAAGATTTCGTTCCATATTAAATGATAAATCAGCAGGAGTAAACAACTGATTTGATCCTTGTCCCAATCAGTGTTGCCAGCTCTTTCGGTTTTTTCAGAAAAATTCCGGATTTTCCCACTTTTCCTGGATTTTTTCCGGGTTTCCCGATTTATCCGGATTTTAGATTATTTTTATTGAGCTAAATTTTATTTATCTGTTCATACTCAAAAAAAAAGTTTTTTATTTGACAGCGGCTCAGTGGCTTATACTTACATATTTAGTTTATTATATTTAGAATTTTGATGTTGATTCTCTTTTGATATATTGAAATGTGCGTTTTTTTGAAAATAATAAGTGGTATAACTGAGAACAAGATTTAGAGAAATTTATTTTAGTCGGTAGAAATTAACTGTTAAAAATTTTTCCCGATTCAACAAAAAAAAGTTTCCGAATTTACACATTATAATTCCGGTTTTCTGACTATGACAGTTGACATCACTGGTCACAAATCAACTTAAAACTTACAGAACAAATATTTGATGCAATACAAGTTCTATCGTTCAACCAATCTAAGGGATACATAGCTAAAGTGGATTGAAATTTTTTCTATTTCGAATTACAAATGAAGAAGACTAAACATATTGTCATTGATAATTTCTTGTGAAGATTTTATTAAATAATGAAAAAGCCTTGTACTATATTACTATACTCACATAGTTATATTTATAATAACCCGGGAACAAACTTTAAACAGATCAATATGGATTATTTTATTAGAATCATAAAATAGTTTTGTAAACAATTCTTTTAATTTTAAAGCAACAAGAACTTGTTAGATACTTCTCATACAATTTCTTTTCTTTATAGAAGATTTTTATTCACAAAAATTTCACTCTGCCATCTTATTTCATTCGATGTGATTATACTCTCTAGTTCTTGTCGTTGGATAATAAGAGATTGATCTAATCTTTTTTTCGTTAAAAGACGTTTAGATTTATCGAAATAACATATTTATAAATGAGTTCTTCATTATAGATAAATTGGAATAACATTTTTGTTTGTAATGTCTTCTTATTTTTGTAGAGAGGCTTGAAGTTTATATCCACCAAGAATCTCAATCTTAATATAGTAAAAATTTTTTTTATAATATAGATCGATCTATAAATAACCGTAGCGATTAACACATTTGAAAATATTTACGTATAAACCACTCACTTTACAACCTTGAGTAGAACGTACTATTGTGATCGATGAATGGATAAGGAAGATTGTTTACTATTTTTGAATAAGTACGAAGAGTATTATGGTTAAAAATACTACGCATAAACCACTCATTCTACAACTTTAAGTGAAACGTACTATTTCGGTTGATAAATGGATAGGGAAGATTGCTTATTATTTTTGAAGAATTGCGACGAATATCATATATGAAAATATTTACGCTTAACTCACTCACTCTACAACCTTGAGTAAAACGTACTATTTTTAAATAAGTACGAAGAGTATCATGGTTGAAAATATTACGCATAAACCACTCATTCTACAACTTTAAGTGAAACGTACTATTTTGGTTGATAAATGGATAGGGAAGATTGCTTACTATTTTTGAAGAATTGCGATGAAAAATATATTTATTTACTCTTAGCATAACTATAAAAGGCGAGCTCAAATTCATAACTATTTTATATCTGGCTAGTGTATTCATCGCATATTTCTTCAAACTCTGGTAAGTTCAATTTTAGAACTCAATCAAACAATGAAGAATAGATGAAAATATTGACTGGGATTGACCTATGACAGTTCTCGGTTTTTTCAATCAGTAATAATATGAAGGCTGACCACAACAGCCAGTTTTTTTAAAACTGAGTTTAACGATCAATTCTTTTCTTAAAAAATCGATGACCAGTTCATATTCTATTGAAGGGAGTCAAGTAATATATATCTGTAATTAGTACATAGCTTTTTCCTACAATTTTCCTCATTAATATAATTCTTGCTTCCAATGTCTGTCGTATACATATAAACATAGGTTTATTGTTCAATATTTGTCTATTTTAGCGTATTCACTTTACTCAAAAAGATTTATTTTACATACAATATATTATTCCAAAACAAATTTCAACTAATATGAAGCGCTTTTCAACAACGATGTTGATGATGGTTATGGTATTGATGGTGATAATATCGATGACTGGCAAGGTTGAAGCTGAATGTTGCTCAGTCGTTGATACCACTTGCTGTTGTAAAGATAAAGCTGGAAAACAAGTGAAGGTTGGAAAGAATCCATTCAATGGCGCACAGTTTACAACAGATGGAGGTACTTGTACAGGATGTCAAATTGGCTATAAATGTTGAAAGCACAATTTCTAGAAGAACAAAAGACTTGAGACTTTTTAATGTATTTTTTTTATTTCCTTGAATAAAGAATAGTTTATAGAAGTTATAATATTATTGATACATGTCATCTTACCGACCCATAAATGTCAAGCACGCTTTAAAAAATCATTAAGCGTCTTTCATAAGTAATTTAAGATTACTAACGTTTGCTGTAATACTAAAACTATGCATATAATGGAGCATTTTTCTTATAAGAATATTTGCTTTAAAATAGTAAGAGCCTCAGACAATCTATACTGATATCACCACTATACACAATTCTTCACATCAATGCAAATCATTTTAAAATGGTTAGCATTGATGAATTAGTTACCGATTGAAGAGGGTCGTAAAAACAGAGTGAATAGTAATCATAGAGTAGTCACTTCTAATATCCACCATCTCGTCTCTCATCTTCATTTTTCATTTTGTATTTTTTCTTCTCTCCTTTCTTTCCTTCATTTTTGTTCTTTTTCTTTTTCTTGCTCTTCTTTTTTTTTCTTTTCTTTCTTGTATATCCCCTTAACCTCGCACATGAATAGTCAATGACTCTTGGCTTTCATATTGTAGCTAAACGCTTGAAGAATAGTATAGAAATCGTTAAATCGGTTCGAGTTTGAAACCTATAAATTTATTATTCGAGTTTTAAAGTTCTAGTCCGTAGCATCTTCACTTTATGCTGTACCCTCCAATAGTCTCACCTTCACCCAGGTGAGTGTTTCAGGGTTTATCATCGAGAACAACTAGTATGAGTGCTTTGAAATAAAGCATGATTTTAAGAAACTATTTATATAATCATACATAAAATAATTGGTTTCGAAAATAAATTCATTCATTTTCTTTGAAATTTATATATGGTGTAGTAGAAAACGTTAAACACTATGATAATATATACATCAAGTCTCTTGAAAGTTTTTGTTATGAAGTAAAGAATAAAAATAAAAAATTTGAAAACATAATAAAAGATTCATTAGTTTTTTATTTTCTCAACTTTATTTAATAGAGAAAAAAGTTATTTTTTATTTTTCAATTGACGTTGAAAGAGTTTTTCGAAACAAAAAAATCCGAAAAGATCTTTGATAAGAAGTGAATAAAACCTTATGGATCCGATGATTCACATTATCAGCAATAAGATGGTTTCTGTTCATATCAAATATGATGTCATTGAAATAATTCAATTGATTTGATCCTTCGTTTTGTTATTTTCATCTGTAGGTTTATTTTGAATATAAGGTGAAAAAACTCTACACTATCCCTTAATCTCTTCCATTTTCGTCACAATTATGTATACATTAGGATATACAACATTCACACAAAACTATATGAATATACTGAAAATAACGACAAAATGTTATTTAGTTTGGTTCTTCTACACAAAATGCTTTTTATTGCACTTGAGTCTTCACAAGGCGAATCGCTCTTGGTTGCATTTGCTAACTAACAGGTACTATTCGACGATGTAGAATTTTCTTGATTTTCGATCCCAATTGTGATATTGAACACAAACACACAAAAGGAATTAGTAACGGAACAAAATATGTGAAAAAACCAACCTGTTGCAGTAACGTGAATATGAAAGGTCCCGGAGCTACTAAAATCCATACATAGGCAATCGCAAATAGTAGATTAACTACAAGATAGAGAAATGCAATAGAAACACGTTGAAAGGTCATTAATCGATATTTTCGCCAAACTATTGATTATCGAAGACGAGTTTTTGATCGATAAACTCCAAACAACACGGCACCATTACATAACAATGCAAATATCGTTGAAACTAAGGCATGAATACTTGTTTGCCACATACTCAGTAGTGGATCCCTTGACTGGCAACCATAATAACATACGTTATTGACAAAATCTACTTGATGTTCACATGGAAAGCAAAAGCTGGAATAAATATAAAATATGAAAATATAAATGGTGATGAGAATCGGTGACATATAATGAAAATAAAAGTTTTTCTATTTTACATTGAATAGATTAACATGAAGAATGAGAAGATGTCGTTCAAATGATGCCCCTACAACTAAAAGATTCAGCATACAAGAAGACACAGTCTCAATAAACGACCTAGTTTTACATAATCCAATAGACCAATGAATAGTTGATTTTAATCTGTGTGAATCTATTACTGATGGAATCATAAAAGCGGTGTTTATAAAGGAATAACACGATAAGATGCAGGAGAATAGATGAAATATCAAAGATTAGTAATATTTGTATTTTCAGACACATTCATTCTGCGAGTTTTGCTTCCAAGTTAGAAAAATTATATGTAGAAGAATGACGAAATGAAAATAATTTTAAATTAATGACAGATAAAGAAAAATTTTGAGGGTATTAATTAAAGATTAGCCAATGCATTAATTCATAACGTATGAATAAATATTTTAATGCAAACCACAATGAAAATAGCTCATATGATACCGAGAGACACTGATAAATGGCGATACACAATCATTCAACAAGAAAGTATTTTGTTTATTCTTTTAAAATACATTTTTTTACAAATCCTTTGATAAAAAAACAACAAGTGAGTGCGAACATAGTTTCTTACTATCGCTTTTTCAGTAACCAAGTAGAAATCTTTACTTGTGATGAGGAGTGTCATATTTTCATATTTCTTATACACCATCGTATCCCTAAACTTCAATCAGTCAAGACGTTACTCCTACCTATTTGTACAAGAAGGACATTTTGTTGTCGCCTTTTTTCTTCTACCTTTCTTCCTTTGAATGCGTAATTGCACCATCAAAAGAAAAATACAATACACGTGAAGTAAATACGCATTTTAAAAGAAGAAAGAAAAACAATAACACACCATACATTTCAACAGTTTCTATCGGAGACAAACAAAATCATGTCAAATTTGGTTACATTACCGGTAGAGCTTGTCTACCGAATTTTGGATCATCAGAGTGATTTCACTCTGGTGTGTTCTATGCGAAATGTGTGTCAGCGACTCAACCAAATTGTTGACACCTACGATCGATATAAGGTAAGGCTTTTTCTTATTATCTCCGGCTAATTTTCATCAATCGTCAAGATTTCTTTCACCATAATGATCTATAAGTCTCATAAAATAGTAGACAAATAACCTGTAGAACGATAGAATACTCTATCAGTCATTATGCCCTCGACTTATAAGAAGGTTAAGTCTCAAGTTGGTACCCGAACAAACATTCATTCGTATGTTTCTTCATTTTTTCATTTACTCGTTAGCTGGTACTGGGTAAAAGTCGTAACAGGCGTGGATGAGTGGAGATACGAATACGTTTGTTTGTTCGTTAGGAAACTTAATTAAGGAAACCATGCAGTCAGATTTTGACTTGTGAGATTGAGAGAAATCGAATATGACCAAATGATATGTTCTCTTCGTATAACTGTTGATTTGTCCTTGGGATAGGATTGCTCTAATTTGATGGTGACGATGAGTTTGAGATGTAGATACTATATGCGTTGTGTACCCACCTAACTGTGGAATAATACGAGATCTGATTCTTCGACTTTTGGCGCTAGAAGTCTTGTGTGGTTGCGAAACATGAGTCCTAGCACTAAACCAATATAAAAACATGCCTTTGTTTATTTTTGCCCTTTCTTTTGTAAGCATCTCAATACTCATATTCTACAGATGATGGCGATGAATATCAGCGACTTCATCTCATATGAATAACTAACGAGAAAATCACTCTTCTCAGTTATCATGATCGTTTGACTTTTCTTTATTACATGATCTCATCTTTTCCACGTTGTCAAATACACGTCTACCTTCACAAGCTACTGCTACTATTGATTATAGGACAGCCTCATACCACTTAACCTATTAAAAAACAAATAACTAAAATCGCCACTTGTGATATGAATTTAACGATCAAACAAATCAGGAATAAATAAAGAACAAGGATTTCAAGAAAATTACTTCACACCGATAAAACTTCACCTTTAAGGGATTCCCTTATTACCACGAAACGCTCCATCACAGTAGGGTTCTTCCATTCATTACCGAAGGTTCATTCATCAACTAGTTGGCGATTGGTTAGAAGTTCCTCCATTTAGTCCCTTCTCTATCCCGATAACATTCCTAAACGACGCCGGGAATCACTGTTCATTCTTGATAAAAACGTCATAGGTTTAATCTTTTCCCACTCACAACTTCCAATTTCTTCGAACTAGTGGACAATCCCATAGCATCCCTTTTATCTCAAATCCATATCTCCAGAATACCGATAGAGAACAGATAATAATAGCAACATCATACTAAAGTCCCCTCTCATATTCATTTCGAGAACCACACAGAAACACGCACCATACTGCACCTCTCCTAAAACCAAATCGAAGATGAAAGAGCACAACATCTCGCTGATGCACCGCGATATAACACACTGATATTTATTCACACTTTACTTGTTTCATATAACTATTTGTACTTTGTTATACAGATACTCACCACATTGGAACTCGCTAAGAACAAATTCGGACCTAAAGAAGCACAGAATCTTAGTGATGCGCTACGAAATAACACAGTAATACTCATTCACTCTTCATCTGCTTCAGATAATTTTTGTACTTTCTTATATAGACACTCACCGCACTGGATCTCCAGGACAACGAAATCGGTGATAAAGGAGCACACTATCTGGGTGATGCACTACGAATTAACACAGTAATATTCATTTACTCTTCCCCTTATTCATATAACTATAGGTACTTTCTCATATAGACACTCATTACACTGAATCTCGCGTGGAACAAAATCACATATGAAGGAATACAACGTCTCGCTGATGCCCTACGAATTAACATAGTATCACTCACTCATTCTTTACCTATTTCATATAACTATTTGTACTTTCTCATACAGACACTCATCACATTGAATCTCGCAGGCAACGATATCGGAGAGGCAGGAACACAGCATCTCTGTGATGCACTTCGAATTAACACAGTAATATTCATTCACTCTTCATCTATCTCACATAGTAATTTGCCATTTCTCATAAAGACACTCACCACACTGGATCTCAAGTACAGCTATATTGGAGCTGAAGGAGCACAACATCTCGGTGATGCATTACAAATTAATACAGTAATATTCATTTACTCATCTCCTGATTCATATAACTATATGTACTTTCTCATACAGACACTTACTACACTGCTTCTCGAGGGCAACGGAATCGGAGATGAAGGAGTACAACATCTAGGTGATACCCTACAACATAACACACTATCAGTCTCTCATTCTTTACCTATTAAGCATAAATATTTGTACTTTCTCTTATAGACACTCATTACACTGAATCTCGCAGTCAACGATATCGAGGCCGAAGGAGTACAACATCTCAGTGATGCACTTCGAATTAACACAGTAATATTCATTCACTCTTCACCTATTTCACATCGTAATTTGTACTTTCTCATATAGACACTCACCACACTGAATCTCCAGTATAACAGAATGGGAGATAAAGGAGCACAACATCTCGGCGATGCACTACGAATTAACACAGTATCACTCACTCATTCTTTACCTATCTCACATAGTAATTTGCCCTTTCTCATATAGACACTCACCACACTGGAGCTCCGAGACAACTACATAGGAGATGAAGGAGTACAACATATCGGTGACGCGTTACGAATTAACACAGTAGTATCTATTCCCTCTTCACTTATTTCATATAAATATTTGTACTTTCTCATACAGACACTCATCACACTGAATCTCGTAGGTAACGATATCGGACATAAAGGAGCACAGCATCTCTGTGGTGCGCTACAAATTAACACTGTAATATTCATTCACTCTTCACCTATTTCACATAAATATTTTGACTTTCTTACATAGACACTCATTACACTGAATCTCGCAGGCAACGATATTGGATATGAAGGAGCACAGCATCTCTGTGATGCCCTACGAACTAATACAGTATCACTCACTCATTCTATACCTATTTCATATAACTATTTGTCCTCTCTAATACAGACACTCACCACACTGGATCTCCATTCGAGCAGCATCGGAGCTAAAGGAGTACAACATCTCAGTAATGCACTTCGAATTAACACAGTAATATTCATTCATTCTTCACCTATTTCACATAATTATTTGTTTTTTCTTATACAGACACTCACCACACTACTCCTCGACTTGAACAAAATCGGAGCTCAAGGAGCACAGCATCTCGGTGATGCACTACGAATTAACACGGTATTACTCATTCAATGCTCACCTATTTCACATATATATTTGCACTTTCTCATATAGACACTCACCACACTGGGTCTCGATTCGAACGACATCGGAGCTAAAGGAGTGCAATATCTTGGTGATGCACTTCGAATTAACACAGTAACATTCATTCACTCTTCACCTATTTCACATACTTATTTGTATATTCTCATATAGACACTCACGACACTAAATCTCCAAAACAACTACATCGGAGATGAAGGAGCACAACATCTCGGTGATGCGCTACGAATTAACAGAGTATTGTCCATTCACTCATCACTTATTTCATATAACTGTTTGCACTTTCTCATATAGGCACTCACCACATTGGATCTCGGATGGAACAGAGTCGGAGACGAAGGAGCTCGACATCTCATTGATGCACTACAAGATAATAAAGTAATAGTCATTCACTCTTCACCTATTTCACATAACTGTTTGCACTTCTTAATATAGACACTCACCACACTGAATTTCGAGGGGAATGACGAAATTGGAGATGGAGAAGTACAACATCTTGACGATGCTCTACGAAATAACAGGGTGATACGCTAAAGGTGTGTGTTGACGTGAATGAATCGGGAACATATTATTTTATCTTGTAGCAAATAGACAACTTTAAGTCAGCAGTGTGTACTTTTGCTTTTCAGTAATCAAATTGTATGCAGAATATTGATTTTTGTTTTAAGATGTGCTTCTAAAATAATTAATTAAATGCTGAATTCATTTCACTGACGCGTTTATCTAATTTATTTAAATTGAAATCGCCATCAAGGTTGCGCGTACGAAAAAAAAACTTGAGATAAAACCAAGAGGGAGGTGAGGAAATGCAGTTTTATGAGGAAAATCGGTAGAATAATAAGATTTCAGTAGAATAAGTAGATCCTTCGTTCTAAGTTGTTTCTGGTTAGTTTTTCTTGTTCTCAAAGAAAGATGAGGTGAGTTGTCTTACTTATTCTATATTTGACAGGATTCAGTAATGTGTGCAATAGTAAAATCAGCTGGTTAAAAATCTGGTGTCATTTTAGTTATTATTGTGGAAGATGTTTGAATCAAGTTAATTATTCTCGGAATACATTAGCATTATTAGCGATATATAGTTGATTCAGTTTGAATAAATGTGGATCATTATTATATTACTTATTTGACGTTCTTGAGGATATGAATAGATGTAATGTGTTCTATAGTCTAAGATATCATAGGTTGTAGCATATTTATTTTGTTTATTGTCATGTACTTTAGTTAAGTTGAGCCATCAAGATCTAGACATAAAGAAGACAATTAATTTATAACTAAAGGAATTGTGCTATATGGGTAGATAGTAGAATTTCGGTTCTAATGGATTCTTTATTATTAATAAGATATCTGTTCTATTAGTCTTTTCAGCACTGATCACAGATTCATTTCATTATGCTGTTCGTTTTTTATATAAACTTAAAGAATGTATAATTCATCAAGTAGGTCTCCCATAACATTACATTTGTTCAATTGGAGTAATGGCGTATAGATGCGGTAGTAAAATTGTCAACAAATGATGCACAAATTCACGATATTGAATTCAATTTACAATTGGCATTTCTATTTTGATTAAATATAATAGTTTTATATACTTTATTAGATCCAGAGTGGGATGGCTATTGAAGACAATAGCTTTCAATAAATAGGTGCATTGAAATAATGCGTAGAGGTATAAAGTCTGTTTTAACAAATGCAGTAATATTGAATTATAAAGATTATTCTAATCACAAGTTGGTTATCCACATTGGTTCATTTAGAATTTTATGAGGACATTAGCGCTCATGTACTGCATTATAAGTTTAGTTTGTTTCATTAGGTTCTTCGTTTTAAATATTGACTTGAAGAGTTTATAAGTAAACAAGTGGAGTATTGTAGCATTAAAGTGGAAAAAAGAAAAATATTTGTTCAAATTGATTATTTATGTTTATTGAAAAGATCGAATTGTTCAGTATTCTAGTTTTCAACAAGGTTTATAAACAAAATTCAATATCGGTAGACGTTGACATTGACGTAAAATTTATACGAATTGTTCTCTTTGTTTGTTTGTTTTTAATTTTAACACGTTTGAGACGACTCAGTTTTTGTACAAGAATTGATTAGAATACTCGTTCTGACGAGGGTCGCATTTCTAATAAATGGATCGAATCTCGTGTCTTTTCTACTGATATTATTCAGTTATATAAAATCGGTCAAAATGTTTCGAATTCTTGAATGTTTTACATGTCATTAGAAGCTAACGCAGAAGATAGTATCGACTCACTTAGTGGAGTGAGAAAAAAATCATAATTTGATGGTGAATTTCTGGAAGATCATGAAATAAAGATAGTACAATCAATCCTGCTGATTGCTATCGGCACTTCATCATCGGCAAGATTGTTAGTCTAATCATTTGCGAAACTAATAGATACGTAGAACAATACTTACTAACACAAAAGCTTAGCAAGCAGTCAAAAAAGACTTTTAGTGATTTATAGAGTGTGGGTGTAGATAAAGCAGAAATAACACCCACACCCTTTGTAAGTATTAACGTAAGGTTTTGAATGTAGAAAGAAGGCTTTAGATACATAATTATGGAGAATTTCTAAGCAATCTTCTCTAATAATGAAGACGCCTTTGTCTGTATTCTAAAGAATGAGCGCACAATAAAATACAAATCAAGATTAGTTAAAAGAATGAAGTAGAAAAAAAGAATAAATGGTCAATACTATTGGGTGCAAAAAAAAGAATTTTTTTATAGTTTATTTATCATCTGTTTATTTTAAAATAGCGATTGATCTGTAGAACAAACTCATGTGTTGTCTTTCATTCTATGATATGTGCGATGAATCTGAGAAATTGTATTTCAACGGAAGAGTTTTGAATTAGATTTAGGAAATAAAATCAATATGAATTTACATTGTTATGTTTAAGAATATTGTCTAATTGAAGAATTTACCAAATGAAAATGAAAGATCATTTTTCTTTTCTATCCTAAGGTTCCCATTTGTCTTAGTTGTATAATATGAGTCGCTGGAAAAGAATAGAGTATATAATACATAATTCATTCAACTAATTTTTTCTTGTTTTTTATTATATAGTTCCAATTTTTTTTGTGTATATTAGTGCATAAGTATTTTTCTAGATATTCTACGAAAAAACGCTAGTACATATCACATTGACAACTCATACGTCTGTCTGTGAGTACATTTCTAAAGTAAAGCTCATACGAGTACTTTCACTAGGGTGTTATATGATTATCAATAAAATTGTTTACTTAACATGAATTCTTTTTGTTTCAGAGAGAAAATGAGAAAAAAAATGACTTGAAGGAAAAAATAGATTAGTAAATCTTTGATGAATGCCTAATAAAAAATACTTGTTCTGCCATAAATGATTATGTTACATTCAGTACATTGCTGGAATAGAGATAAATATCTATGCCAGAATTTTGCGTATGTTATATTTAAACAAAATATTCATTTTCTCTTGAGAATCTGTTGATGAGTGTTTTAGTGTTCAGATTATTAATGAGTTGTTACTTTCATCTCTTGGAAGTCTAAACGCAGTTGATAAACTTAATTATTTTTCTTTCGCAGAAAATAATATAAAAGTAGATTCAGGTATATCCCAGAAGGATTTGTATTTATATATCATATCTTGCGGCTTATAGTAACTTGATGAAACTTTCAATTAATGTCGATGAACGACGTACTTTCAACTTCCGCTTCAAGCATAACATATTTTTCTTCATTCAAATTATAATTAATATCTAGCAGGAACTTTTACATTTGACAGTGTGACATAAAATTAAATATGTTCTCAGAGTTGTTTGTTTTAACTGATAATTTTTAAAAGACGTATGACATCCACAAATCATGGTAGAATTAGACATAGTACATTAAGTTTATAAAAAGTAAAGTTAAAGTTGTTAGGCCATCCAGTAACGGAAAATCTATAAATTTAATATTTTCACTAAAGAAAAGGTTTTTTTTGAGAGCAACAATTTTTTTTTATAAAGTCTAATCAAAGACTTTGAAAGTTGCAGATAAGAGTGACAATTTAGAGTTACTTTCAGTTTATTTTACTAGTAAAGTAACTTATCGCTAATTTAAATCTTTGCTCGAAAAAAACCTGTTTCTTTTTATATTATGGTTTCTCAGCTGATTTTCTTCGTTATGTTATGAACATCATCTTCACCATCGTTTACTTCTTTCTCTTCCTTAATTATTTTATTTCAAATTTTCTAGTATATCATTATTCAATACCAAAATGTCGTCATCAGGTACAAACAATACTAGTACTAATTTAGATGCTATTAATGCTCTCAAATACAGTCAAAATTTGTTTATTCAAGTTTGGTGTTTTACAATGTTTTCTTTTGGTACTGTCGGTCATATATTAAGCATTTATGTGTTTACACGTCGTTCACTTTATTCAAATCCATGTGCAAAGTATTTTTTGGCGTCAGCAATTGCTGGTATGATTGTTGTCTATACACTTGTACCTCTGCGTCTTCTTCAATATGTATATAAAATTGATGCTTTTGCGAGCTCCGATGCAATGTGCAGAATTCTGTCGTGGTTTGTGAATTGGATAAAGTAATAAAGTTGTTTGTAAAATATAAAAATGAATATTTTCTCTGTATTATTCTAGAACTCTACCATCATGGTTTATCGTACTTGCTTGTGCCGATCGGTTAGTATTACAATCGATTAACTAAGATAACTCGATATTCTAAACACAGCGATAGTTCTACCTTTCATGTTTCTACTTCAACTAAGAGTGAGGATATGATTATGTATAGTGACCCACACTCACATCCTATTTTTTCAAAAATAGATCGAGTTCAGTTTGATTGATGACTTATTCAGTTCTCTAAAAATTTGGTAGGATGCGAAACCAGAAGTTCTTCATTTATTTTCATTCAAAATGTAGTTAGTATTTTTAAAAGAATAGTCTCTGTAGAACTTAGTCAACAGTATTAAATAGTCACTTTAATAATTGACTTTGACTGAATTTATTATAAAACCAATTTATTTTGCATAGGGTTTTGTGCAGTTCATCGTCTGCTACCATTCGTGCGTGGAGTAGTATTCGGGTTGTTACACGTGCTACTCCACTGACGGTTCTGATTGTTGGTCTCGCATACGTACATATTCCCTTCTTTAATCGAGTGAACACAGCATCATCATGTGTCACGGCTTCAGGAACATACGCAACATTTTATGGCATTTTTAATTTATTCATATTCAGTATGGGTCCACCTGTCTGTATGCTTATTTTTGGATTACTCGCCATTCGGAATGTTCGTCAATCAGTGAAACGGATGGCACCCAACAATACTCCTACTGGAACTCAAAACCAATTGCAACATCGTCAAAAAGCAACAGATCGACAATTGATGCAAATGATGATTGTTCAATCTATGTTTTTCATTTTGACAGGAACGCCCCTTTCCTTCTATTTTTTTTACTCTTCAGCAATAAGTAATGAAGTGTTGGATGCTCTTCAAATAGCCAGGCTCAACCTTCTTGCGTCTGTAACCGCCTTTCTAACCAATGGTGGTGCATGTATGAGTTTTTATGTGTTCACATTATCAAGCCAGTTATTTCGTCGTGAACTCATCCGTTTATTTAATTGTCATCGGCAAATAATGCAAGTAATTATTACCGTGACTAGAAACAATCAAATACAACCAATTTAATCGATTCTGTTGTTTCAACTAAACAACAAAGTATACTATTTTTTCCTGCATAAATGTTGTTACGATGTGTTGTTGTCTCTTCTCAACTTATCTATGAATATTGTTCTGTGCATATTATTAATGTCATTTATTCATCATTGTTAACTTTTAGCCCAGTAGATCATATTTCGACTAGTTTTCTGTTTGTATGCGTTTTTCTCTTTTCTATTTCTTTTTTGCTATTGTCAATTTTACTTTCATTTCGAAAATAAATATTTGAACTTGAACACACATTTTATCTTCTCTTTCTTCTATCAACTATCAGTTATCAATTAAGTTAACTACACGAAGTGTTGACTATTTCTCAAAATAGTGTCATATATCATGGGCATTATTATTTACCTCAATAATGATATCTTTCGGGTGTCTGTAAATAGTGCTTCTTGAGGGTGTGGGGGTTAGTGTTATCTATATTCAAATTCACCCACACCCTCAAGATGGATTTAGGCCGTCATGAGACAAGTTAGTTTTATCGTACATTGGGTTTTGATATTGATATAGGAATCGTACTTAGTACGAGAGGAACCGTACGTTCGGACATTTGGTTTACGTATTTGTTCGAAAGGACAATGATGCGAAGCTACCATCCGACGGCTTACAACTGAACGCTTCTAACTTGGAATCCGATATAGACTCAATGATTTTTTTGCACATTGGTTGTCGTCAGCACTTTTATATATGTTCAAACCAGTGTTTTATCCAGCGTGGGGGCCGTGTGGGCGCCGCCCCCCCCGGGATTTCGGTTCGCCCCCCCGAAAATATGAAATTATTATATTAAAAAAAAGTAACATTTTCTTTATTTTTTTGTAGCATAATACTTTCACTCTACTCTTTCATCAATCAGTGATCTATAGTTTATGTTTTCTCAATGAGAAAAGAAGAGAACAGCCGAATATGAATATTATATAACTGTTTGACGATGTACTAAATAGTCTATCATCTATTATTCATCATGATATTCATGCAAAAGAACAAAAAGATGAAAAAAATTCGCTCATGTTAGGCTAATTGTTCTTTTACGTCGTATATTTCATATCAGGCACATTATTCGACTTCACTTCTAAATATACATTGTTCAATTAATGTCATCAGGACAAGAATCTTTGACTTCCTATTTTAAAATGGAAGAAAATGAAGAAATCAACTAACAATGAAAAAAAGTGCGAAGAACTTCGGTTCAGTACAGATTTTTTCTCAAAGTCTTTTATTTTTTGTTTTCGTATTTTCAAAATATATTGATAGCAAAACAGAGGTTTACTTGTAAACCCCTCCCTATAATAGAAGTTCCCTCTGAGACGAGCAACATGTTTGACGTATTAAAAGCCCTTCTAATTTTTCCAATACAAATTAACAATTTTTGAGATTTTGTCGAATTTTCTGCTAAAATTTCTCGATTTTAAGATGAAATTTCGACGAACTCCTATCTAAGTGTGCATAAATCTGGAAAAACTGCCAAAAATCTTCTGAAAAACTCGTGAAAATCTTGAAAATTTCTAGAAATCTTTCGAATCGATTACCTTATCATGGTCTATGAAAATTTTTTGAAACACAATTGAAGCCACATCCAGAAATTATAAACGGTAGACAAATTAGAAGTTTCCGAAGGCTCCTAATATGCGGAGGGGTCTACTGTGAATTAAATAAATAAAAGTTTGTTTTTTGATATATCGTAAAACTTTTTATATAGCGTTCCTTTTGAAAATTATGCTTGCCCCCCCGAACACTACAGTGGCCCCCTCGGAACATAAAACCTAGATAAAACACTGGTTCAAACTGTTGATCGAGTGAACATATAAATGAAGCTACCGCATTGTTGCCTCGCCACATTGCGATCCGCTGAATTTCTACTCGATGTTATGTTGATTCGATAGGTTTCAGCCTTATACGACATTTACATTTATCATTATATATACTATCAGAACTTTGCCTTTTATCTCTCCAAACAAAAAACAACATATCTACACGTGTTCGCTTTTTCTTTATAAACATCTTTTTAATATCTTTTATGGTGATATTTTATTTAAAATGTAACTTAAGATAATCATCACTGTTATTTTTTATTTCTTCGATGTGATTTTTTCGGCAATATTTACAGTTACTTGTTGAGTAATATTTTGATAGAGAAAATGAGTAAGGTTTCTTTTTTTGTGTCACTGATTTAATTCCAATACAAATCTGCATACTTCGAGCGAATTCGACTCATAGCGTATTCCATACAACAATAACTTCATCAAAATACATAGTAATATATTTTATGATTATAATAAGAAAGTATGTAAGAAATAAAAATTATGCATGCAGTTATATTAGACTAAAAACTATTGTAATGATAAATTATTGAATATTTATTTTACAACGATAATATGTCAAAAGATATTGTCTATGTTGCTAATATACGAATGCGAGTACAACGATTACGAAGCACAACATGAAACTGCCATGGAAATGGACAATTATTTGTATCTACCATTAATTCATGTTTGACATCAGTGCGTTCATTAATCATCGAGATTTGACGATTGTCACAATCAAAAATTAAAGTAATTATATCATCTGTATTCATTTCAATAGGTGATTTTGTTTTATTCGCTTGAGATAAACCATTTGAATAGATATAATCACTGCTACACCAACCATAAGCAGATTTAGTTTCATGTGATGATTTTTGTAAGGGAGTTAATGCTGAATTGATTCCTAAAAATGTCCATTGTTTTGATGAATGTTCAATCTGTACACGAACTTTATGACAACCAAATGCATAATTATTTTTTCCACGTATTTCATTGTACATCATAAAAAAACTTACACCTTCGACAACTTCTCCATCTTGTTCTATTTGTACATCATTGCTGAGAACACGATCAAATAATTCATTTCCTGTCCATAAAAAACTAACCGATATATTTGGTATCAATGGATTATGATGATGTTGATTGAGAGCAATCGTTGTTGGTGAAATAAGATTCGATCTTAAATCATCAAGTCTTCTTGCCCAACGATGCAGATCTGTTTCAATGAAATCATCTTGCTCTTTGCTTTCTTGTATTTGATGTGCTAAAGTTTGAAATTTACTTGATAAAGTTTCAATCTGAGTCACTTTGACATGAACTATTTCTTGTCGTAATTCTGCTGCTTTTTGTTGAATTTTCTCAATTGATACATTTTCCCATACATCAATTTCCTGAAGACGTATTGTTACAAAAGGGTTACTAGATTCTAGAGCGAGTGTATTCCTGAAATCATTATATTCGCTCAAGATAACGTTCAAATCATCATCTAGTAAACGACGATGATCATTAAAATGTTTAATACAAAATGCTTGTGTACATCCTTCACAATGAGCGATACCAGCTTGTTTACAATCAGTCCCTTTTGCACATTCTTTGCGTGTTGAATAAGACGACATATTATTCATAGCAATATGAATTACCTAAAATTAAAATTAATAAAATACATTTTATAACTAATTTTTGTACTAACCTTTCATTCGTATCGACGTAAAACAATAAATACACATGACTCTCATCTATTCACCATGCTTTATCACGCTACAGTGAATATTGTCGAGCACATGGTATAACCCTATGCGAAGGTAAAAATATATTCGTTTTATTAAGTATACACTCATGTTTCGATTAGATCTAATGTAAAAGAAAAAAAAAATTTAACACAATTAATACTATCATAAATATTCTAAAGATGAAATATAATATCTATATTACATTCTGAATCATATCATGGAATTTTTCAAAATTAATCATTCATACAAAAAAAGTCGAAGAAATATAATCTAAAATATATTGATTCTATCAAAATGACTCCATGAAACGAATTTTAATTGAAGTGGCATCTATTTTTTTTCTATCATCGAATATTGACATATCGTATATCACTAAAATAACATGAAAGTAAAAAATAGAAATCATATCGAATATCTAACAGTCAAACGAAATACACAACAAAATGCAGATCAAAATGCTTTTACGTATATGTTTTATTTTTGCTGTTGTTCATGGACAATTATCTGTCAATGAATTATTCTCTTTTAATTCGAAATATACTTTAACTGGTAATTGTAATGATTTTAAATATACATTTAATAATCTTCGATTATATTCAAATAATTACAATCAACTTATTTTTAATTGTACATCATCAAGTCTTATTTTTCAAAATCAAGAACATGCATCTTCATTAATTTGTCCTAATGTTGAAAATTATTTTCAGAATTTTCGTATTCATTTTCAACAATTATCTCAAACATCAATACAAGTAAATCAACTTCGTTTACATGGTATTGAACTTTGTTCACTTGATGATCTCATTCGAAATGTATATCATGAATATGCATATTATCGTTCTCGATGGGCTTTATTAATTAATCTAGATAATCATAATAATAATAAACAAGAACAACAACATTTAGCAGTAGCTACAAATGGTGAAATGACATTTATTTTATTTCTATTATCATCTGAATATAATAGTACATCGATAGAAAATGAAATTAAACTTATTCTTCCTAATGAAAATATCTTCAAATTTAATCAATCATTAGCTAATATTTGGCGAATTGATCAAGGTTATATACGTTATCCAATATCTTTGGAAAATTCTTTTGTATATCAATTATCGAAATCAGAATTTACTCTTTTTAATAATGAAACATTCTTTGTTTATGGTACACAAATATCTTTTCCACGTCGATATCGTGTTTTAATCGATGGAGTATTAGCTATATGTAAATATGATTATATACTTCAATGTACATTTCCTATTTTATCTTTAAATGTCTATGATACACATGAACCTTTGTTAAATATTGTTTATAATGGTTATAGTATGTTTAATACTAGTTTAAAATTAATTCCACGTACTCGTCTCCATCAAATTCCAACCAATCATAGTTTAACTGATATTGAAACATTTGAAGTCCGTATTGCCGCAAATCTTTGCATGTAAGATAAAATTCGAATTTTTTCTAAGTAATTTTATCTTTTGTTTAGTGACGATTCGTTGAAATCATTGTTTACTTTTATCATTCATCTTTGGAAAGAAGATGTTAATGGTACTGCACGATATGAAAAATTTGATAAGAACAATATGTTACTAATTCCTTGTAACGCAACAGCTAAAATTGGTGAAAAGATTAACGAACATGTAAGTTCAATATCAATCGATGATATTATATCAATGGATGTTGATTTAATACATGAATGGTATGATCATCGAAATTGTCAAACAGAACAAACAAGAATTTCATTTATTTAAAGACATTTATGTCCATAAATAATTTTCTTTTAAAATAAATATCTCGAATTATTTTGTTGAAATCATCAAACTCAAGGTGATGTGAATTATCGTTCAAAAATATATGCTAAGTCTATTAAAATGTTCTGTAATTTAATAGTTCAGAACTTGAAAAAAAGTGCGCTTAATACGATTAAACTAAGACTATTTCTGTTTTCATTCTATTCATTCACTTGTAATAAGTATCAATCTGTTCTCTTCAAAATTTTATCTCTTTAATAAATAAATAAATGGTTGTTGAGAAAATCGAATGTCTTTCCCATACATATTAGAACATATCATTCGTCGTACCGCCATTTAATTTTTCATTGAACCATAAACGACTTTTCTTTTCTTCGTTAAATCAGATTTCGAGTTAATTAATAGACGCAATCGATCACTGCGCACACGTTTCCTTTTTTCTTTATCACAGCAGGAAAAAATGATCATAACCTTAAATTTTTTTCTCTCTCTTTAATATTTGCCTTCCAGCCAATATGATGATCATATCCGATAACAATCATATTGATAATTCGTTTTTCTTCGTAAATAAAGAACAAAAAAAAACTAATTATACTAATCAGTTTCGATTTTTTTTTGTAATGATTTTATTGCCAACAAGAAGGATGTCACTGTTCAAGGGCAAAAAACTAGAAAATAAAGAATCGCATTAGCAGAAATACTATACACACACACACAACAATAACACAAAAAGAAAAGAGAAAAAAACGATTTTCGAATTTTTGTTCAGAATTTAACAAAAGGTCCAGGCATAGGTGGTGGTGGTTGTTGTTGTCGAATATGATTGATAGAAAAAGTCTCTTTTCGAGGAAGAGAATTAAAATTATTGTCATTATTATTATTATTTATTCTTGTATTTGTTGTTGTTAAAGCTAATGGTTGTTGACCATAAGTTGGTGAATGTGCTGATTGAACTCCAGGTGATAAATCTGATCTTGAACTATTACTATTTGCTGTTGAAATCAATGCTGTTGGGCATACAGTAAGATTATGTGATGTTGATGATGAATGGTCATTATTAGTTGCCGTTTCTTGACCAACACTACCTAATGATGAACTTGAACCAGCACTTGGCGTTGATGAACCTGTTGCTGTACTTTCACCATCAGTTCGTTGAGATTTATCAGAAATTTCCCGACGACCTTAATTAACATACATAAAAATATAAATAAATCATTGTAGAATATTCAAATACTTACATCTATCTGTTACTTCTCGTTTTTTCTTTCTAAAAAATGAATAAAATAATCATTTTTAGTACAAAAAAAATATTTTATTTTATTCACCGATACTTTGCTCGACGGTTTTTAAACCAAACCTATAAATAAAATCATTTTTTTAAATTTCAATCAATAATAAATTTTCTTCTAAGAAAAAACTAAGATTGCAGGTGTAACCTATCAAGATTGTCTATGCCTACGATTGGTCATAATGTCTTACGGTATGTTCATTTATATCCATTGTACATTTCTTTTTTTTCTTTCATGTGTGATCATGCATAAAAATGAATCAAGTCAAATTATCCATCTAGAACATCATTTATATACATGAATCGATAACGTATCAACATACAATTGACTATTTTCCGGAAGTATACAAATGATATATATATTTATTTGATCATAAGATCTAACCGGTATATTGATAGTGGCACCAAAAATGTATTTGTGTGTGTGTGTGTGTGAATTATTAGCCTATTAGCGGCAATAGACAAGAAGAAGAAATGCATCATTGAACAATACCAAAACGAAAGAACAACAAATAGAAATTATTGTTAATATCGTACAATATATAGATCTATTTGAGTAACAAAGAAAGAAAGAAAAGAGCAATCGGATATAATGGAATACAAAGCCTAGGAATGAAGTAGGCGACGTTAAAAGGAAATGGAAAAAATCTCTTCACATAAGAGTGACGAACATGAAATGCATACTAGATTTGTCTTTGGATGATCCCGGCTTCGTCTCTCATTGACTTCTATTGTCATCAGTTTTAAATATAAATAGCTGATCTTTCATTTGCTTTCATTTGAGTTCAATCAAGTTTATTTAGATAGCAATCAGCGGATAATTGGCAAACGATGAACTAAATCTTCCAATTGCTTCTGTCAATAAAAAAAGACAGAAGCATAGATGATTCTTTCAGACAAGAAGCAATACTAACAATATAACAGAAAAGTCGTCATGTCAACAACAACAATCGAAACGATCGATTGTATTGTCACCTCGAGGCAATATAAGAAATCAACTTCTTCTTCTTCGTCATTTTTTTTAAACAAAATGAATACGATTTTTAACCACTCGACATTGTTACCGAGTGCTCTCTGCTATTAGACGAACATACTGATAAAAGCTTCTCACGGTCTTCAATAAGCCCAATAGGCAATCTTTAATTAATATTGAAATATTTACCTCAACACGTTCTTCTTTAAGATCAATTTTCATTGCCAAATCTAAAATAAAATTTTCAATAAAAATATAAATCTTGATTTTGTTTTTCTTCTTCTACCTTCTCTCATCATAACATCTGGATAATGTGTTCGATTAAAAGCTTCTTCTAATTGTTCAAGTTGTTCTTCAGTAAATATTGTACGATGTCTTCGTTTTCGTTTATGATTTTGAGCCATTGTTGCAGCAGCAAAAAAATTTTGTAATGCAGGATATGCTTTAAAAAAACAAAATTAATCCATTGTATTTTATTTATTTTAATTCTTAAAATATCGTACATTTTTCAAAGAAAAATCTTTTCTAATTAACTTATATCTTATATACACTGTTGTAACCCCCCGATAGCATCAATTTATTATATGTTTACATGAACAATCATTTCCTCTTTGAACTTTTTTATTCGAATGAATATAATAACATGAATAACTTGACGTTATTACTAAAACAGGTGACGATTCGGAAATAAACATCTAGTTATAATGAATCACTGACCATACCAACAATTAAACACGTTTAACATAGGCAAATAGACAAAAAAAATGTGATAGTATATATATGTATATATATATATCATAAGTTTTCGCTTTAACACCTTTTACGTTCATTGATGATATTAGATAGGAGTAAGAAAGAAAAAAAAATTATTTTTGACTATACTTACAATAGAAATCTGCAGCAGCTTGTGCTTGATTTGTTGATGATGAAGCATAATAAGGAGATAAATGTACTGGTAAACGTGGACGTGTACCAAGAATATTATCAATAGAAAATGGATTATTATGTGAAACAACAGCAGCAGCTGCAGCAGCTGCTGCAGCCAATTGATGATGACCACTGTTAGTAACCATTGGATTTCCACCATTTGGATTACCACCACCACTAGCAAAATAGGCTTGAAGTGCAGCCGATGGAAATTGTTTGAGCGCATCGGAATAGTGCGGAAGTTGATACATTGTTTTTGCTGTTGTATAGCTTTCACTCTCAGTTACTCTTACTTACTTTTGACAGTCGGTAGTCAATAATGTAGTCGCTAATCGATCGTGTTCGTCGTCGTGTCTTTTTTTCTCTCTCTCTCTCTCTTCCTCTTCTCTTCTTTTTTTTATTTCTCTCTTTCTCTATGTCTTTTTATTCCACCAATCGGTGACGAAGTCTATGTTCGCTGTTTGTCAATTTCTTGTGTGATAATTGTTTTGCAAATATTTAATAGAGAAAACGAACGGTATATGTACAAGCAAGAATGCGTATGTATATGCGCTTGTGACTAGGTGACAGTAATGTTAAAAGAAAAGTGGTTGTTTGTAGTAATCATAAACGATTTTCTCTTTCTTTCTTTTTCTTTGCCTTTAAATATATAGGTATATACATCGACAAGCCAATGAGCGTAAAGAGAAAATATACATTGGTTGAATATAAGAAGCGAGCTAAAAAAAGAAATTGATTGATCAGGGATGATACGTTGTTCGGATATATAAACGAAACGAGAGATATTTAATCATAGATAAATCGTTATATACTACACTATCGAAGATATTGAAAAGAAATGGGTGGACTAGTAAAACGAAATGCGTATGATATCGAGAGATTTAATTTAAGTTAAAAAAAAGTTGTTGAGCGGATTCTTCTTCTTATTTAAAATATTGAATTCATATATATATATAATAATTTAAATTAAAGTAATATTGACACAAAATAAGAATAAAATAAAAAAAATATATATTTTAAAATATTTTCTTTCATTCCTTTATATTGCAATGCTCGTTATAATTTTTTAATGAACTAGTCTTGCGCAACAAACAGGTGACTCTGTATACACATGCCTGTCGATTTTGTGCATCTTCTTTTCAATTTCTTTCTTTTTCTTTCATTACGAAGGTTAGCAGTATATGAGATACAATCATAGATCTAACCTTGATAAAAAATGTCTTTTACTGTCATCATAATGATAAATAATTTCTTAGAAAATTATTTTCTAATTAATCACTAATAAAATATATATAGATAGAAAAGATCTATCTAGTAATACAAATACGATTTTGTATAAATATGGATGTGATGTATACATTTTCTTTTTTTTTTTGTTATAAAAAGAATTGCTCCTGGCTATAATATTGATTAGTTAAGAAACATGTATCGAACTACTTTTGTTTGTCGACATGTTCTTTTTCTCTTTGTCTTGTTACAAAGTTGAAAAACACTTGATCAAGTATTCGAATACATTATCAAACACATTTTAATAGATGTTCATATAATTGTCGTTAAATGGAGACAAAAAAGTTGAAGTATTTGAATACAAAGTAAAAGAAGAAAAAATCAATTGGAAAGGAGTACATAATGGACAAAACTACGTAATTGCTGGAGGTATACAATGTCAAATTATTTCTTTTTTTTTTGGTGACAAAAAGAATTCAATCGAACCAATTACTATTTAATATAAATTTATTTCTCATATCATTATTTATAATTAATTGTAGACAAGAAAAAAACATATCTAGTAGTTGTATATTTCAGAATTACGAAAAATAATGAGAGTCTAATTGATAGTATTTTTTAAACTTTTCTATAATGTAACTATATATTACAAAAGAGAAAGCAAATATATTGTTACTTAATATAAACTCAAATAATTTGTTACAGTTTCGTATATAAAAATGGGTCTATTCATGCAACAAGTTTCACAATTTTCCTTCTAAAAATTGATATAATTGACTAATTATTTTTGTTTGTTGTGACAAAAAATATGTTGCAATATTTTACTCATTTTGTTATATATTATATTAAAGAATGTACGTGAAACTTCATGGTTATCAAAACCTAATAATTATAACTATTGATATATAAAAGAGAGAACAAAAGAATCCGACTTAGAAAAATGAAAAATATTTTTCACGAGAGAAAAGAAAAGTAAAATCAAAGGAAATTTTATAAAAAGTAATACATTGAAATGTATATGCATTTGCTTGCGATCGGTGTAGATCAAATAGTAAACAATAAAGACTAATCACTATTTTCTACTTGATTCTATGGATTTCTTTTTAATCAAAAAAAATCAATTAGTGTTCTATATGTGATTAATAATTTTTAAATGAAATTAAAACTTTTCATCGATTATGTACTTCAGATTTTTAGTTAATCTAGCTAGAATATAGAACTGTGATTGATAAATCATGATCATTGTCAAGTATCTCAGCCGTAAATGTGTAGAACATCGAAATGCAACTTTAATATAAAACATGAACAGTGGCGAATTTAGGGGGAGAGCGATGGGGGCGTTTAATTCAAAAAATAGTTTTTAGCCAAAGTCGCCCGCTCCAGGCATCGCCCCCCCCCCTTTCAAAATCCTAGATCCGCTGCTGAACATGAACATATTCTTCTAATTATCTAGTCACCACTAAGTACTTCATATGCTAAGTAATGAACACAACTATTGTCACTTTCAGTCTCAAGTGGATAAACATCAAAGAAATATTCATCTTGACAAACAACACTTTTAAATATCAATAAAACATGTTCCGGTAGTTTTTAAAGTCAATTTTCAATATTTTTAACGAAATTAAAATAAATGAAAGAAAACTTTTGTTAAGTGTAAATATTCTATTTTGCTTTTTTTTTTTCTTATTTTCCGAATACAGATTATATTATAATAATCGAAAAATTCACTTATATATGTTTGAAAAAGAAAAAAAACGAAAACGAAAGAAATCATTTTTTGTTTTGTTCACATTTTATATGGTAAACGTTGTTTCCATGATTGAAATTTGAATTTAAAAATTTCACGTAATTGCGCACGTTTTCTATCAACATTTTTATTGAGCATTGAAAATTCATAAAGATCATCATCTGATATATAAATTTCATTATCTATATTCGACAATGGATTTTCATCCTGAAGTAAAAAACAAAATATAAAAAATTTAGTTTTTTTATTCAAGTATAATTTACCCATATTTGTTTTAGATGCATATTAAAAAACGGATATTCATGTGATAATTGTAACTAAGATAAAAAGAAGTCATTTGTAAAGAATATAATAAAAATATATCAATTACTTTAATTTTATGTTTTCGAGTTGTATCACATAATTCAATTGTTTTTGTACAATCTATATTATATTTTGATTAGAAGGAGAAAAAAAGAGAGTGAAATATATACCTGTGGATATATCACGGAGAATATAATCACTACTAGATAAAATAGAATCACAAGGTGAAACAGATGCACCACTTTCATCTTCTTCATGGAGTGGACAACAATGAGATACTTTAGAAAAAAACAGAAGATTTTTAAAAGAAAAATACAATGAAATATCTTACATTCAGTTAAACATGTATCACATGGTGTTAAGGAACATTCACAAGGACCAAAGAAACACGTATCATCTTGTTCTAGAATAGAAAAATTTTATTTCTTATAATGTAAAATTTTAGTTTACCTGAAGAATATCCAAGATCAGTTCGTGTACTGAGACAACGGGTACAAGACATTGATTTTGCTTAAAAAACAAGTTTTAGAAATAAAAAAAAACTAGAAAAATTACTTGTCTCTACCTAAAAGTCTTTCATAACAAATACATCCTCTTGTTGAGACTGATGATAGTAGAGTTTCTAATGAACTTGAAATTGGTATTGTTTGTTCATTAATAACTTGATCGGATGATTTTATTATTGATTCTGATGTAGAAATTAATGATGATGGACATGATTGAGATTTAACTAATGATATCGATGGATTAGTTGGATATATAATTGATAGAGAATTTGATCGTTGAATACAATACTGACATACACAAGAACAACAACAACTATTTGTTCGACAACGATCTATTATTTCTTCTTCTTTATCCTCATGAGAATTTTTTCGTAAAATTGTTTTTTCATCGATTTCATTTGATTTATCCTAAAAGAAATAATACATAAATTTTTGTTTTTCGATAAAAGAAAACAAACTTCGATAATTTTTATTTGTCGTCGATCTTTACGTTTTGAACGCTTTTGTGGTTTTTTTTTAATTTTTACATCATCTGTTTCACATAATTCATCACATAAAATCTTTAATGTTATACTAAAATCTTGTTTACGATCGACCGCTTTTTCAAAATCTAAAGTTATGCTATTTTTAAATTAAATAAAACTAAATAAATATCATACTTAATCTTAAACAATCAATAGCAATATAAAATAATAATTTCCATGTTTGTTCTTCAGATCGTATTGTACGATAAATTTTATCGAATCTTTCAAATAAATATATTCCAATACAAGTTAAAATTTCTTCTTGAGCAATATCTAATGTTTTAGCATGACGTTCACGTCGACTATCACGAATTTCCAATTCAGCACGTGAGATTAAATTACTAAGGAATTCTTTGTTAGGATCAACATGAATATGTTTATCATTGGTACATGCACGTAAACCTAGACATAAATCAAAAACTTTTATTAACAAAAGAGACTGATGTATAATTTGCTTCAAATTTGGAGTTTACGGATATCTAAGTTTTCGCGAAAAACTGTAATCATCTGTTTTTGATTGCTCTAATAGATACTCTGAGCTGTGCTGACGAGGAAATCTGACGAAGTGATACCCTCTGTTTGAGCTCATAGTGTAGATAAAAATCCTAAAAGGATTCATCCCATCACCTTGTTCCTGTCGAGATATAGAAATTTTCGTGAATTTCCCTTATGGGACCCTATTTTTTCAGTCAAATCATATTTTAGAATTTCGACCCGAGACTTTGCGCAAATGAAGGTCTCAACTAGACTAGCTTTTTAAAAAAATTTCAGAGGTTTTAGACAAAATCTCTCCGAGTTATGAATTTTCAAGATTGCCTGTTTTGTATAGTATCTATGGAACACCCGCTTATAACTTGAGAAATTCATAACTCGGAGAGACTTTCTTCAAAACTTGTGAAATGTTTTTTGAAAACTAGTCCAGTTAAGACCTTCATTTGGGCAAAGTCTCGAGTCGAAATTCTAAAATATGATTTGACTCGAAAAAAAGGGAAATTCACGAAAACTTCTATATCTCGACAGAAACAAGCTAATGGGACGAATCCTTTAAGGGTTTTTATCTACACTATGAGCCCTATCTATGCGCAAAATATGAGCTCAAATAGAGGGTATCACTTCGTGAGTCGATTGGTGATGTTCAAGAAAAAAGCATACAGTTTGTCGAAAAACTTCAGATTTGAAGTTCATTTAAGTTAACCTCAATAATTTTACCTTCATATAAAGCTGAACAAAATCCTTTTTGTTCTTGATGTTTATAATCTGTATTATCCATTAGAAGATCATATGCTTCTAATACTTTAAGTTTACATTCCGAACAAAATCTATTTTAAAAAAAAAATAATCATATATTTCATTTGTTTTTTTATTTTATTTTCATACTTATGTTTTCGTAAATAATTTTCCAGTGTATCAAGTAAAGAATCAGCTTCGACTAGAGTTACTTCATTACGACATTCTTTATTCATCATATCCCAAACAATTTCCCAATCACTAAAGAGAAGAAATTATTTCGATTTGATTTTAGTTAGTTATTACTTAATTGATTTTGATTTATCTAATAAATGTATATTACATCGGCGATTCTTTTTTGATTTTGGAATACTTTCAATAAACGAATTTAATTTCGATCTAGAAGAAAAAAGGAATCAATAAAACGAATTTCTATTTTCTCATCATACCCATGAATATAACACAATGTATAAATATTATCCGGATTTGAACTATACATTTTTTTAACAGTAATCGAACCTTTTTCATTCATAACAAGTGGTTCTAAACCAGGATGATGATGCTCTATTAATGTTTTAATAAAATTTTCAACACTAAATTCGATATTCAATTAATTATTACAAAAGAAAGGAAAAGAAATATATAACCTTGTTCGACAACCAATACATGGTACACAATGACGAATATATTCTTTTATTTGACTAATAGATACACATAAAGCTTCATCTAATTCTTCACTAGTTAATTTTTCATATGATTTAATAAATGTTTCATAAGTTTTATTTGTTTTATTCCAATAATGACGATCACATGTTATGCTTGAATCATCAACTTGAAGTTTCATCTAATCCACAACAAAAGAAAGAAACACGAAACATTCTTGTCTCTATTTAATAATTAATTAAAAGAAATTTACAATAAGATTTTCATCAATATTAATTGGTATTTGACGTTTATCAAATGGTGTTACATTTTCCTTTTGACATACAGCTACAAGTTGAATTGAAGGTTTAACGGATGACATACAAGAATTAAAATCACAGCAATGCATTGATCATCTAAAAAAACAAATCTTAATTTAACAAATTATATTATAGAAAAATAAATGATTGGATGAATACAACCATTTAACCTTCTCTTGTCACTCTATATTGTACGTTAGTATAGGAATATAGTTTGTTTTATTCTCTCTTTCATTCGTTCTTTACCTCTATTATTGATACTCAGCTGTTTGTCAGCACTAGTTATATTGATAGATCAGGAAGGTGTTTTTGTCAAATATTCTGCAACAAATGCCCTACTACGTTGTACGACAGGGCAGAAAACCTGGAATTTATAATACTTGGTTAGAAGAGAATAAAATTTCTTTTTTCGTGTTAATTAATTTAAATTATTTAGGGATGAATGTCATAAACAAGTGGATAAATTTACTGGAGGTCTGAAGTTTTTTTTTATTGAAGAAAATCAACGTAAATGAAATTATTTTTAGCACAATTTAAAAAATTTAAAACATATCCCGAAGCTCAAGAATTTTTGAATGGAAAAGTATCAATACAAAAAACTGGTGAAACGAAAAGTCCAGTAAAAAAATCTAAACAATGGAACAATATTCCAGCAGATTTAATGAAAGATTCTATTAAGAAATATTCAGTTGCTTCATCCTATCAAAAATTAACAATCATAGATAGTAATACTGAACAAGGTAAAAGAAAGATAAAATTATCTGTATACATTTACTAATATTATTAATCAAAAAAGGTGAATACAAAGTAGCCTATTCGGATGGTTGTTGTTTTTCCAATGGTCGAGTAGGATCAAGAGCTGGCTATGGTGTTTATTGGGATGATGATCATCCATGGTTAGTACAAGACAATCAAAAAGGATTTTCATATTTATTCTTATTTTAATAGGAATACTAGTGAACGATTATATGGTGATCAAACAAATCAACGAGCTGAATTAGCGGTACGAGAATACTATGTATTAGAAATCTTATTTTATATTTTTAATATACTTTAGGCAGCAATTAGTGCAATGGAAGTAGCTATATCAAATAGTATAACTCATTTAGAAATTCGTACAGATAGTAAATACACTATACAATGTATGTAATAAAAAATTTCGTATTGAAAATATTATATTTAACTAAATAATCTAGCTGCTACCGAATGGATACATGGATGGAAAAGATCTAATTGGATTAAAAAAACTGATAACAAGCCCGTTATGAATAAAGATCTTATGGTTAAAATTGATGAACTTCAACAGAAGTTAAAACTAAAATGGGTATGTATTAAAAAACAAAAATTAACGAATTTCGATAAATCAGTTCGTTTTATTTAGACATATGTACCTGGTCATTCATCAAATAAAGGAAACGACGAAGCTGATCGTTTAGCAAAAGCCGGTGCTCAAAAACAATAATCTAGTCAATTTATTCTGTTCAATGTATATGTTTACTTCTTTTCTGCATTCTTATATTTTTCTTCCAGATAACTTGATAAAATATATTGATACTCACGATATACCTAAAAAAGAATTTAGAAGATTAAATAATTTTCAACTTATTTAGTCAATAGAATAGATTTTTATCAAGCTCAGATCTATATGTAATACGAATGAAAAGAAAGGTAAAAATTTGGCATTGTTTTGTCTTCTCGACTTCCATCATGCATATATCAGCTAGAAAATGACACAGACCATGGTAGATATAAGGTGAAGAGCGTCATAGACCATGACAGATACGTTAGCAATGCCCTATAGTAGACTGTGACAGACACCTTGGCAACGTACAATCATAAACCATAACAAACTTAACTTCAAAGATATACAGACTTATAAATCACCAAAGGAAAAATTCACAAATTTATAGATAAACTCAAAGTATGTAGACATTTGATCGTGACTAATAAATTTCAAAGGTGACAAATTTTTTTCCAATTGATAGTAATAGTTATCTTTCACCTTTTGAGGTCAATACGAACACCAGCTGATTATAACCGTTTTCTTTTTTATGAATAGATAATTTTTTTTCTTTTTTTCTTCTTTTTTTTTATCGTTTGATCTCATACGCACATATATGTCTAGTATGACAATGATTGTTAGAGTAAAGATAAAGAACAATAAGAAAAGAACGAACGAAAACCTGTACATGTGGATTTGAAAAAAAAAAGAAAAGTTGCAAACACATATATATTTAAATAAACGAACGACAAAAGATTTAAATATCCATTAGATCTTTCATTTCATTTTGTTGTTGTTGATGGTACTGTTGTTGTTGTTGTGTTGTACGAATGCGTGTCTGAATATTTTCAAGTTTACTTTTCATATGTGAATTGAGATTAGATGATACTGATGTTTCTTGAATAATATCTGTTAAATCAAGTAATGATGGTAAGATTGTATTTGTTACTACATGATTTATTTTTCGTGTTTGAGAACACTGTTCGTCAATTTTTGTTTCAATTATATTCATTTTATTTAATAAAGTTTTACTCATATTCATAATCATAGATTTTAAATCGGATATATCATCACTTGTTGATGATATTTGTGGTGATATTGTTATAGTATCATCACTAGCAGGAATTTTTTGACATGTACTTTTAAATAAGGTTTCTAATTCTTGTAAATTACCATTATCGTCTGATATAAATGGATCAAAAGTTGTTGATTCATTTAATTGTTGAGATATATTTTGAGTTTGTTGAGGAGATTGATTAGAATTATTCAATGTATCAGTAATATTTCGTTTTTTCTCATCGACTAGTAAAGATGTTGATTCAGTTGGAATTGTTTCGGTTTCATTTTTCTCATCATTATTCATCACTGGAACAGATGATACGGATGGTGTAGTAGTATTGGCGGCTTCACCATCACTACTATGAGCTGTACCAGATGTTTTATTTTGTTTTTTGAATGTATTCATAAGAAGTACTTCAAGTTGTTGTAAACTACCTGATACCTAAAAGATTTTATGAAGAGAAATAAATAAGTTAATTATCTTTGATTATAAAATAATCTTACTGGCGGTTGGGTATCTGACGGAAGTAAAGGCGGAGCAGATTCACCTGTCTGTGGAAGAGATAGAGGTGTTGCAGAAGGTGATATTGACATATGATTGTTTTCAGTAGTTTCTGGTGCAGTTGCAGTTGTAGTTGCAGTTGTTGTTGTTGATGTTGTAGGCGTAGAAGAAGGATGTATAGTTTGTTTAATAATTTCATTTGGAATGGTATTGTTCTGGATATTTTGAGGCGAAGAAATTGTTGGATAAGAATAACTTTGAGCAGGTTGAGATAATAGATGAGAATTTTGTATCATTTGTTGTTGTTGACTTGTTAGCATTGTTGTTGGTTGAGATTGTGTTTGCATAATAGTGGATGCTGATGATTGAGGGATATCTAAGAAAATTAATTATATTGAAAAAAGTGAAATTACAATAAAATCTCACTATAAGAAACTCAAGACATTTTCTAAACATACTACCGATAGAAAAATATTTTAAGAGCATCAATAAACAAACTAATCGATCAGTACTTATTGTTGCTCATTTCATCATGCAATTTTATCTTTTGGAAATATCACATAGGTATGAATAATGGGAATTTTTCCTATATAAAATATTCAGGTTATTTACTTGTTGAAGGTTCGGTAGCAGTTGGTAATGCGGTTTCTTCCGTTTGTTGTTGTGGTTGTTCAACAATAGGAGTATTAGTTACTGTTTTTGGTATGAGAGAATCATCTTGGATAACTAGAGGTGTCGTTGATTCACTGGTATCGTTGACAAGAGCAGATGTAGTTCCTTGAGCACAATTTTTAGTAAACGTTTTCTTCAATGCTGCTTCAAGTTCTTCTAGACTCACAGCTGAACCTGGAATATTCGGACTAAGTTCAGGTAACTGAGTAATTGGTGTTGGTTCGGTTGCTACAGTTGGCTTAACGGGTGGAAGTTCTGATGCCGGTTTAATTGCCGGTTGTTCAACTGGTGTTTGTTGAATAATTGAAGGTGTTGGAACAAAATTTGTTTGTTGAGGTACAGATATTACAGGTGTTGCTTGTTGTTGTTGTTGCTGCTGCTGTTGTTGCTGTATAATAATCGATGGTTGCGGTGTCGAATTAACTGTTGGTCTACCATTTGCTGGTAAAACTCCAGCTTGTCTATCAATCATTTCATAATTCAATGCTCGTACACGATCTTTTATTGATTGTATAACAAATTTTTTATCATCTTCAAAAATATAATTTTTTCCAATAAGTTCATCAGCTATTTGTGCAGGTGTATCATTATTAACATTATACGGAAAAAGTATAGCTTCAAATACTGTTGATGATACTTTATTTTCCGGATATAAAGCTTTACGTTTCGCTTTATCAACAATTTTTAATTTTAAATCGATGGTCTCATTTTTAATCGTAACAAAAGAATCATTTGATGAATCACGTACAAGATCAATACGTAAACCATTATCATCAAGAAAAAATGAATGTTGTAATAAATCTTGTACGGATAAACGTTCTTCTTTCTTTGTTCGTATACAACAATCAATAACTTCTCGTACATCTTCACTTTCAACTTTAAAATAACAATCAGGTTTTAAACCATTTGTAATACGTTTTATAACAGCTGTTGGTCCTTTACATTCAATATATGGATATTCACCTGTTATCATTTCTAACATACATAAACCGAATGAATATATATCAACAAGTTCATCATATTTTTCATCAAACATTTCCGGTGCCATAAATTCCATTGTACCACGCATACTTTTAGCAAATGTTTGAGTTTTAAATGTTGCTAAACCAAGATCACCGATTTTAACACAACCTGTTGTACTTGATATAAATACATTGTCACACTTTAAATCACGATGAATAACGGGTGGATTACGACCATGTAAATAAGCAAGACCTTTGAGAATTTGACGACACCATTTTTTCATAACATTAATACGTTTTTCTTCTTTTTGTCCTTTGAAATTTCGAATATATCTAATGAAAGAAAAACAAATATTATAATAATTAAATAGGAAAAACAAAATTTGTTTTCTTTACCCTTTTAATGAACCAGATGTCATTAATTCGGTAACAAGAATAATAACTTTTTTATTTGTTCTCGGATTTGTTTCTTCCCAAAAATCATAAAACCGTACTATATTTTGATGTTGAAGTTTTTTTAACATTTCAGCTTCTTCTTTAAAACGTGCTCGTTCATGTCTATCGAATTGTGCAAAATCCTACAAACGAAATAAATTAGATTTTTTCAAAATTATATTTTCTCTTCTTACTTGTAATTCACACCAAGCTACAGCAACACTTGTTTCAGTATCTAAACCACGATAGACAGTTTTAAATGCACCACGTCCTATTTCTTTGGCATATTTAATAAAACGATTATCAGGACTTTTAGCAACGGCTTCTTCTTCTTCTTCATCCTAAAAAATTAATATTTTGAATATATGATAGATTGATTGATTAATTAACTAACCTCTCCTTGTGCTGAAGCTGCAGATGAATGCGGAGCTGGTGGTGCTGGTGAAGGAGTTATTGGTACAGTTACTTTTTCTTCTTCGGCAGGTGATTCATGTTTTCTATGTTGTGTTACATGAAACCGAACACGATGATATCCATTTCCACTACTATTACCACTATTATTTTGAGCAGTTTTAAGAGCTGTAACAGCACCATTAACAATATTATCAGTATTTGTTGTTGAATTTTCTCCATCTGTTGTCGGAGTATTTGTATGTTTACGTTCAAGTAATGACGGTTTAAATGATAATTTCGGTTGTTGATTTGATAGTGAACCATCATCATCATTTGATGATTTAGCTGCAGCTGCATTTGCTAATAAAATTTGATGTTGTTGAGATTTACGTATTGATTTAATTTGAAAACGAGTAGCTTTTCTTGTTTGAATTGGATTTATTGGTGTAATATTAGTTGGTACTGGTGATGAACCAGTAGATTCTGATGGAAATTTTTTTCCATTCATTTCAAGATTATCTAATGGATGATAACGATGATGTTTTGTTGTATCATCATCTGTTGTTGTTGTTGTTGCTGCCATATGATCACGTTTTTTCAGTGAAAATAATTTTAATCGTCTATTATTATTATTATTATAGCTAATTTCTTCATGAATACTATTTAATTCTGTATTATCTTCGTCATTTGAGCTTGATCTTTGTTGATTTTGATCATCTTTACGTATATTTGTTCTTGATATTGGTGGTGTATGATTGTTATTGTTTGATGAAAAACTTGTTTTTCGAGTTTTTTGAAAACGTCGAGGTTTTATTGTTTGTTTATTATTTATATTATTATTCGAAAGTTTATGATCTGATTCATCAGCATCGGTATCAATTGATGATGATGATGATCGTGATGATTGATTAGGTGAATGATGTAAACTTGATTCACCTTCTTCATCTGAACAACTTGATATTGCATTTGACATAGTTTTTATTCGACTATGTGCAAGAACATTTGCTATACGACGACTTGATTCTGACATGTGTTCATTATGAGACTAAAATAGAATAATTTGTTTAAGTATGTTAAAACATATATTACATATTCTATAATTAATAGAAGAAGAAAAAATAACAATCTTCATTTCTATATTTGTGTTAAGAAAGGAAAAAAGTACTTTTCTAGGTTGAAGAACTCTATAATTATGATCTGAAATAAACTACTTAAGTATCTTTTAACTCAAAGATACAGTGTGTTAATTTAGAAACCTACGCATGTTACTCAGTATAAAGGAAGTCTTCTTCTTTTTTTTTAATGATTGGAAGAATTTTGATTTTTTTTTCTTTCTTATCAATGTAAAACATATAGTATTTTAAAATACATTGTAATGATACCTTTTGTTGATGGTTTGTTTCTTCCGATGATGAAATAGGTGCAATAGCATGATAGACAATTGGTGGTGATGCCGAACGTGGTTTATTATTTGTTGATTGTTTATTTGAAATATGTCCATTTTGATGATGATTATCAGTATTTTCTTCACCTAATGAAATTGATTTTATAGGTTTATGTGATAATACTGCACGTTTCTTCAAATGATTATTATAACTGTTGTTTAATGAACAATCTTGTGAAGTATTGGTTGCACTTAAAGGTTTCTTCGAGTAAATTCGACTCGATTTTGTTTCATGTCCGTTTGCTGTCATATTATTTCTATTATTACTAGATGGGAATCTTAATTTAAGATTGCGTATTGATGATGTTGTAGTCGACATGCACAAAGTGAAATTTTCAAATAAAAATATGAGAAAATGGATAATCTGACTAAAGATATTCTTTGCTAAACCAAAGAAAAGTCCTCATAATTACACAGTAAATAAATAAATAAATAATAATAATAATAATAATATATGTCGTATCTACAAAGACAAGTAGTAGTGTTGTTTCGTATTTGCCTGATAAATAATTATCAGAAAAAATTCTTGTCAAAATATTTGACAAATAGATAACGTTTTGTTGTTAATAAAAGTTAAATAGTAATTATAATACAATGTATTTCTTAATATAATATTAATAATAGAATTGATAAAATTTCCAATGTTGAGAATGTAAATTGTCGATAGTATATATTCCATCACATAGAATAAATAGAAAAAAATTCAATAGGATAGGTGTGTCGATATTTTCTTTAAGAAAAAAAAATAATTGACACAAAGAATTTTTCAAGTGTGTTGAACAAGAGAAAAATATATTGTTGTTTGTTTGCTGACGTTGTATTCAAAATGGAATCTAAAAGAAACAGAAGAAGAAGAGAAAAAAACTAATAAAAAAAGCATATATAGTCACACAGACAGAGCATAAAACGTGTCTGTAGTATTACTCGTTAATGAATCGACGAGGAGAGAAAAAAAACAGAACAACGATTTTTCTTTTCTTTCTGACAGAAAAAAAGAAATTTCTTTATTCTTTTTGTTTTCAAGTAAAACTGACTAGACTTATGTAAATAATTTTTTCATAAGTCTATGGAACACAAAAAAACCTTTTATGTCGTTAAATAAATAACAACGATAATATATTTTTTTGTTTTAATTGATTTCTTCTTTTTCGTTAATTCATCTCTCTAGATTGAATAATCATGACGTCATGATTATAAGTATATTCAAGGACATAAAGAAAAAAAAAGTAAATGTTAACGTATTGAAAGCGAAGCAAAAAAGAAAGTACTTGTTTTAGATGTGTGTGTGTGTGTATATTCGATTCTTGCCTCTTTTGCTTTGCATTACTACAAACGTGCGTAAAGTTAATGCAAGTGCAAAGTGCAAACATTTTTGCTTATTTCATGACATTTATTCGTCACGTAAACGAAATAAGCTAGGGAAAAATAGTAAACAACAACAACGGAAAAAAAATGCTTCTTCTAATCAATCAATCAATATCAACCAACACCGTTGCTAATATAATATAGCTTGAAGAAGCGAAATAGAACTACCCAATGAGATAGAATATTGTAGAGAGGCCGCTATATAGCGTTCAGCTGTTCAATAGTAATATATATACTGCTTTTCTAATGTCTCCTGAGAGATAATGAATAAATTACATCGGATCTTTCCGTTCTCTTTTTTTTCTGTGACCTTGCTTTGCGTCGATTTCGAATAATAATTGGAATTAACATGGATCGAAAATAACAGCTGACGTCAACGTTCTCACGCGCAGATGCAGACATTCTTTCTCTCTCTCTATTTTTATTTTCTTTAACAACAAGTTGCTATCAAACACTCCTACGTAATTTTTTTTCTTTACTCAAACATTTTGAGTTCCATAAAAATGAATCTTATACGCCCTTAGTACACATATATATACTCGCCCTATTCTCAAAGACCGTTAGCAACTAAAATTCAATTTAACATACGCTTCATATAAATTAATAACTACTAGCAATACATTAGTAGTTTCGATAAGATCTTTTCACCAATAAAAATCTAAAGTAATATAAAAGAAAAAGTGTTTTATTCAATCAATAATTACTTTCTTTTTATATTATGAACAATATAACCTTCATAGATCGACATGTCTTGCTTATGAATTTTATCTGACATGAAAGAGAAAAATTCCCCTTCTTTTTTTTCTTTCTTTTCAATATACCAAATTACTGTTGTTGTTAAGTCAGGAAATCATAGTTATTATCTTGGGTTTCTCTCTCTCTTCAGAAAATAATTAAAAATAACAATTATTATAAATCTTATATAGAATATCACTAAATGATGTGTCTATAACTATCATTAGATATACTAGATATTTTTTTTATTTGTTATCTATTAGACTAATCTTTTTAAAAAAATATATTATCAGTGTTTTTTTGTTGTTGTTTTTTACACATATACTTGATCATTCTAAAGATAGCCGTTTAAAATAAAATACAAGTACTTATCACTAAAAGTAGTCAGAATACATATGTTTCTATATTTAGTTAGTCAATACATTTCCTTTAATCTGAGTATTTTTTATCGAAACAAACATTTCTTTTTTTTTCTTTTATAACTTGCTTATATCATATAATGTACTGTGTGTGTAGATGATATTTAGTAACATACCTGTGAATATTGATGATGTATAGAATGGAGAATATATCGTTGTTAACGAAAAACGAAGAAGCGAAGGAGAAATGAGTTAATCAAAAACGATGCACCGGGTGAAGAGCGTAAACGAGCTTGCAAAAAGCGCACATTACTCTTCTTTTTTTTATTTCTTCTTCTTCATCATCAACGGTTGTTGCTTTTGAAATCGTATCGTAGTCGAGACAAAAAAATGCACACAATAATAATAAACGTGTAAGCAAGCAAACGAACAAATGCTTGAAACGTGTACGCGTCCGTGTTTCAAATCGAGTATATAGAGCAATTATTCAAAAAAAAAGTAGACTGCTTAGCTACAATGAATATTTTCTACAATGTCACTAAATCAATAACTTAGAATAGTAGATATACAAGAAAGAAGGAAGAGAAAAAAAAAGAAATATCTTTTTATTTATATCATTCTTACTACAGTAGCATATTCATTAATGCTACATCATTATTTATTACTTGCCATCGACATTATTGTTGTTCTCGATCGACTAGATTGTCTAGGAAAAAAGAAGAAGAAGAAGAAGATTTTCCAAGAAACAAAAAAGAAACTAATCTATATATGGGTCAATTGTCGGTCATCTGCTATTTATTAGACAGAGTATGTCACTCGACATGACATGTTTCAAGTGCAAAGGTCTCTTTTACTTTGCATCTTACAAAAAAAAACGTACTAGCTTTTACATTAGATAAGAGGATATATATATATATATCTATATAAACTGTACTTTGACACTAACAATCAAGGGAAATGCCAGCATGTATTCATTTTGATTTATAAATTAGTGTAAATTTTTTTGTTGAATATATCGAGGTATTCATATGTATTTTTCTCCCAGATAATAATTCTCAGCACGTCTCTCAAAAATTAAGGGTGCTGAGTTGGAATTTTTTTGCACCGACACATTCTTTACATTAACGTATAACTACAAAAACAAAAAAAATGGATATTATACTCAAAAATCAAATCTAGTCTGAAGATTCACATGATTGTATCTATTTCCAGGGTTTCTGAATTGAATTCCTAGACAATACTAATAAATTAATACTTTATTGATGATGATGATCATCTCTCATACTCAATAATCCAGTCTTGCGAAATGATTATTTTCTTCCTTTTTCCTTTAGTCGATGACATCGTCTAGAGTATATAATACAGAATTATGATTCATACTATCGTTGTTGCCTCTCTCTCGTTTTTTTTCTGTATATTTATATTATGATATACTCTTCGAGGCAGTCTAAAATCATATACAATCGATTAAATCATGTGTTGTGTCTGCTGATTTTACCATACATAGTCGACCTTAGATACAGATCGAAACAAAAAAAAAGTTATTTTGCAGATGTTCACACAGAATCAGTCATAATAATAATAATAA